TCTAAGTCATCGGAGATTGCTTGACGATTTTGCTCGCTTTGTTTTGTCTCAACCGCACCGGAACCTGCGATCGCCGGTGGCTCACCGGAGTCCGTTTTCTGTCGCTAATGTCCGCCAAGTCCTGCAGAATACAATTAATACAGTAGTTATTGAGATTAAAACCACTTGTCCTCAAGTTGGTTACAAGGCTTTACGGTCAGAAACGGCAATCGCCGGAAAAGCCTTAATTGGGCTAATAAATCGTCTCCTTAATGACGAGATAGAGCGCTTTAAGCCTCTAATAAACAGAGCCTTTCAAGGCTGCTGCGTTCGCCAGCATAATGGGCATAATCAAAGGGTTATCATAATGAGCCTTTCATTGATATTATTTTTAGAATAATTAGCCCATCAATTATTGGGCTAGTGTGGTAAAACAAATCCAGTGTCTATTTTATCGCTGGGATTTGAAACATGGAGTAATTGGGTGATTAATTAAGAGATTTAGTTACATTTCCTTCTTTGTCCCTTTTTCATATTAATTGGGACCAATGGATAATTATGAAATTAATTGGTATCATATTAATTGTGCTCAGATTCTTCATATGGCAATGCCTCAAAGTCATACTTTCCACAGTAGTGGCCCTTCAAACTCGTGAAGTAAATTGTCTTAACCGATGGCCTGGCTACTGGAGACATCGAGAAAGCATTGAACATTTATTATTCAGATGCCCCCTAGCCATCAGATTGTGGACTTTAGTGGGATTGAGCAACTTTATTGATACCGCCCAGACTGTTAACTTTAGTCTATGGTGGCGACATGTCATGGTCTCCGAGACCTCCCCATTCCACATTCTCCAATGCGTTCGTTTACCTTGGAGAATCTGGAAGTCTAGAAATAAAGTGTTCTTCAAATTTATACAACCTCATGTCCGTTCCCTAGCCAGACAGTTCTACTTCCAGGTCCTCGAATCTCCAGTCTTCTTCTCCCCCTTCCTCCCCGCAGCTCTCTACCTTCCTGCCACCATTTGAGTCCCTCCACCAGAAGGCTTTTTGAAGATCAACGTCGACGCAGCTGTTTGTGCCTTCGGGTGCTCGTATGGGCTTGTTATCCGTGGGTCAGACGGACATGTGATGTTGGCGTTCGGGTTGAAGCATCAAGGAATAGTCAACCCTTATCTGGCAGAGCTTCTAGCTTTCAGGGATGCTATCTCCTTTGTAGCCTCAAGTTCCTTGACCCACGCGATAGTCAAAGGTGATTCCGAAGTGGTCGTCATCCAAGCCCGTCAAGGCGTCTTAGAAGACTCGATTGGTGGTCCGGTGTTACGAGAGTGTCTTCAGATCCTTAGCTCTTTGTCTGTTTGTATAGAGTTTAGGGCGGTACCTAGATCCGCCAACAGTGCTGCCCATAGAGTGGCGCGTAAAGCACTGCTTTTGTCTCGTGTAGAGCTAGAATCTTTTGATTTTTTTGGGTGGCTTCTTTAGAGTCTTTTAGGGGGTCCTGGATAGAATTGTAAGCTTAACTATTATTTTCCATTGATATCACTATGAAATAAAAAAAAAACTTTTTCTCCGGCGAATTCTCTCCGGCAGACTCCCTCCGGCAACCTGAAAAATGTACTAGTGCGTTAAAAAGTGTACCAGTCTATTAGTCTACTGGTAATTAATATACCAGTGCTAGTGGTACGCTACTAGTGCGTTAAAAAATGTACTAGTGCTAGTGGTACGGTACCAGTGCTAGTGGTACGCTACCATTACCACTTGTAGCGGTACCAGTACCACTGGTAGCGGTACCATTAGCAGTACCAGTACCACTGATAGCAGGACCATTGTCACTGATAGCGTACCACTAGAGACTAGCACAAAAAAAAATCAGATCTGAAATATGAAAAATCACAGATCTGGAAAAAAAAAACACGAGGACGGTGATGGTGGGAGACAGAGGGCGGCGGGAGGGTTGCGGCGACGGTGGTGGTGGGAGGCCATCGCGGCGGTGGTGGGAGGAGGAGGGGCGCGACGACGGGAGGGCTGCAGCAGTGATGAGAGGCGAAGGGCGTGGCGGGTCGGCTGCGACGACGGTGGTGGCAGCTGATAGAGAGAGAGGGAAGAGATGGGAGGAAGAAGAAGAAGAATAGGAAGAAGAAAGATGGCGCGAGAGAGAGGAAAGAGAGAGTGTAGGGTTTTAGGTATTAATAGGGGTAATAATCTAGTGTGGTCAATTTTTTTCGTCCAAAAATACCCTTAATCCAATCTGTACCATTGATTTGAAAAAAGAAGAAAGAGACAATAGAGAGAATGGATCCTGTGGTTATAAAATGGGTTGTCAATCTCACAACCCCCTAATGGGATTGTCACCGTATCTCACCCCTACTTGCGCCCAACCTAACCCATTGTCATTTTTAGTCTCTTAAGTATTGTAGTTGACCATCAAACACTGCCACCTGGCTATGACATGTCAACTGCGGTGCCATGTCATCTCCACACGAGTCAGCCTAAATTGTTAATATAGTCGTATATATTAATTCTAGGGCAAATACCACTAGAAAACCCGAACTATGAAGAATGTGTCATTTGTGTCCTAAAGTATCCGATATGACATTTGTGTCCTAAACTATTTTTCTGTTAGAGTTGACTGGCGTTGACTGTTAGTTTTTAACAGAAAGTCTAGTCAGCGCTGATGTGGCATCTGACGTGGAATTTTATTTATTATTTATTTTTATTTTTCCATAAAAAATGAATAAACTAACAAAAGCGAATTAAAAGAAAAATTAAAAAGCAAAAACTCAAATCAGCAGATCTGCATCTCCGGGGGGAAACAATGAAGAAGTTCCAAAAAATTTCACTTTCCCGAACAGAGGTAGAAGAGAAGAAGGGGAAGAAGAAGGGAGACTCAAGCAGAGACTCAAGCTTCCCTCTCCTCCTCTGCAACCGCAAGCCGTCTCCTCAACTCCCCCCATGCCCAAAACCCTGGTTTATTCTCGACAAGCTCCTCCACGTCGGATCCGTCCCGCTGCATCGATATCCTACCTCCAATTCTTCTTCTTTGCGACCACCCGCCGCCAGCCACTGCATCGATCTCCTACCCCCAATTCTTCTTCTTTCCAACCACTCGCCTTCGCTGCATCAATCTCCCACCTCCAATTCTTCTTCTTCGCAATCACCCGCCGCCGCTTCATCTATCTCTCATCCCCCAATTCTTCCTCGTAGAGCGCGACGCCTCACTAGCGGAGATGGTGGCGACTGGGCCGCATACTCTGATGATGGCGACGGTGGGTTTCGAGGGTTGGAGACGGAGACAGAGTAGGAAGTGAGGAGGCGGCAGATGCGGTCGAGCATGTCGGGGGGATTCTGGGTTCTTTGTGGGAGCTAAGCAACGATGTCCGCGGGAGGAAAGGCAAGCCTCGAGCACGGATTGATTGTTCGATTGATAGTTTGACAACGGCGGCGACGATTGATTTTTCGACAGTGGCGACGATAATTGATTGTTTGAGAGCATCCTTGTTTGATAGAGGCGAAGAGAGCATCCTTGGTTTATTTTTTTGTTTTTTCAATTTTAGTATTTATTTAATTTTGAATTAAAAATACGAGGTGTCGATGACATGGCATCTATGTGGCTGCCACGTGTTTGCCACGTCAACAAAACTCAACATCAAGTTGACCACCATCTGGTCAACCGTTATATATAACGGACAACAAAATCGTCAGGACATAAATGACACAAAACTATAATAGGTTGGGACACAAATATCATATCATATACTTTAGAACACAAATGACACAAAGTTACTAGTTCGGATTTCCCAGTGATATTTCCCTTTAATTCTATCAACTGCACTTTTGATCGGAGAGGGATGGCGTGCATTGTGGTGGCAACTTTAACGGTCGTGATTACGGAGATGGGCAGGCCATCGGGAGTTGTGTTTTTTTCCGGCCAGCAAAACTGAACTGGACGGCTGGTGGCACGTGGGGGGTATCATTATTATTCAGTGTGGCAACTTCGCCGGCCTGCTCCTCACGGTGGCGGTGGACGGTGGTGGTTGCCCACTGCATGTAGTCATTTAGATGAAATGAAAGGGCTCTGTTTTTCTTCAATGCAGCAGATGAGAAGTTAACAAAACGGGGGAAAAAGAAAGTAGATAAAGATGGGTAAATGTAACATTTTATTTACTAATATTACTAAATTGTGTTATTAGTCATTAGAAAAATTTAATATTAATTTTAGTCACTCGAATAACGGAAACTAACGGGAGAGTGACTAAATATGACATGTTTCGGTAATTCGAGTGACTGGAGTTGGACGGAAGCTAACGAGAGGGTGACTTCTGGGAGCAGGTGACTGAGGAGGCGTATGCAACTCTTAATGACAGTGATCACTGAAAAAGGTTTCCTAATTAGCTATGAAAAATTGCACGCGAAAGTACATCATGTCAACCTTATACCTTACAATTACAAAGTCGTGAATCGACGCTTTAATAATTATCTTCATCTCTCTCTACTCACGACATGATATAAACCTATTCACGTATATAATTAGAGCATCATGATTAAGATTATCAATAATTGTCAAAGACAAATTAGGATTAGGTCCACAATGGGAGGCCAAGGCCCTCCCCTTATTTCTACATTTCTGAGAGAGAATGGGCTGCCGACACAATGAGAAGTGGGTGAGCTTAAGTTATGTCCCAAAATGGGCATTCCCCCCACCGCAAAAGCAAAAGGGAAACTAATCATGGTTAAGGTTAGCCAACAGAAACATGATAATTACCAACATCCAACCACAACTAACAACAACAACAAAAGCCAAAGTGGATTCCAACCCCACACCATGAAAATGCCCCCAACGATTTCGATTGATGCATTCCAAACAACAATATTACCAATCTTCTACACGAAATCCCAATCCTAGCAAATGAAACAGCACAAAGCAACCCCACTTAATCAGCAAGCAAAACCTTTCCCTCATTATCGATAAACCCAACTCATCATCAATCTCATTCGAGTCCACGCGAGCTGATATCGTCGGATCATATGTGGGTCGCGCAGTCTCGGTCTCGTAGGATGTACGAGTTAAACATGCACGCGTACACCCGATGATTTGAGATTGCGTGGTACATATGATCCAACGGCAGCAGCACGCGCTGATACACATGTAGCCTGATTGGAATCCAAACAGCATCAGCACCAGAACTGTAGAGAATACAGTAAGCATAGTACAGGACAGCCAATCTCATTCCAATACGAGATGGGAAAGTGGTGGCCAACAGAAAGACACAAGAAGATGATGAGAACGTGTGTCCTTGAGCTGGACCAACCAGGAAACAAGCAACCGATACAAAGTACCAATCAATATAAGAGAAGATTGAATCTGTAGCAAAGTACCAGTAAAACCCTATTTGATTGCTGTTGGAAAGCAGCAAAGGAAATTTGCAGAATCACGGTTGAGAGACAACAACACATGTATTTAGGTACAGACATGGTTTATCAATGGAGGAGGGAGGGGAGGAAGAAGGCAAATGGAGTAAAAATGAAACGAGAGTAAAAAAAGAGAGATGCGAAGGCCTATTTCTCTTCTTCTCAGTGACAATTAATTCATTCTAGTTAAAATCAAACAATTGTTGCAGCAGGCAATCCTGAATCTCCCCCCAACCCTCTCTATTATGCAATGAAAAGAAACCCTTCTTCTATCCCCCCCATCTCCTCCCCAAAAAGTGAGTTATAAATCACAAATCCTATCAACACCCAACAACAGCACAGTTGTAAACAAACACCCCAACATTCTCCTTCACGCCAATTACCTTCCAATCCAAGGTACCATTGGTCACCCCAGACTCGGGATGCCACGAGTTGAGAACAATACCTTCGCCTTCGGGTCCCCTCTGCCCGCCCACAACCAGCAGCTGCTCGCCACAAGCCTTGAAAGCCAGACCCCAGCCGTTGGACGAATCTGCTCTCACCGGAAGCCTCCCCAGGACGTGCCAAGCGTTCTTCTCCTTATCGTATCTCTTCACCATGTTAGTTAGATACTCAACTGCGTACAGCTGGTTATTCACGACCGCAACTAAGGGAGGTGCCTGAGCTGCCTTATTGACATTAGGATACATCCCTTCGATCTTCCTCCATTTTCTGGTCTCCAGGTCATACTCCTCCCCACAGGTCAGTGACACGGTGGGGGCAGACATCCCTCCGATCACATAGAACTTGCCGTCCATAAAAAAACCTGAGCAGAGCCTACGTGGCGAGTGCATGTTGGGGAGCATCTCCCATTTGCCCGTCGAGGAGTCGTACAGCTCAGCGGATTGCAAGATCTTGCCGTTCTTGTCGCTGCCACCTGCAACAACAGCGAGCGAGCCGAAGCTGCCCGATCCGAACAGACAACGAGGTCGGTTCATTCCATCGCACTTGGACCAGACGCGGCTGACCGAGCTGTACTTCCAAATGGCAAAGTCGAACAACTCACGACCGAAAACCAGCAGCTCATTGCCTACTGCCAATGATTCTTTGTCAGCATGGTTGAAACACTCGTCGCAAGGTATCTTTGGAAGTGCCATCCATTTTTGCCTCGTGGGGTCGAATGCCTCCCATCCCCTTGGATCACAAACCAAGTATACCCAGTGCTCAGTGATCCCCAAGTGTTTCCTCAGCCCGTATAGATACCCCGTCTTGATCAACTTATGAAACCTCTTGTTTATGCATGACAAAGAGGAATGGTCTGATCTGCAGGTGTATGCCAGACAGTTCAATGCTACATCGTCGATTAGCCCCGGGAAGAGTGAATCACTTGATCCGAATCTCAATCGACCATCATTCACTCCTTCCCTGATCCTTATTCTTTTTACCCTTTGTTCTTCTCCCCCCTCCATCGATCAAAATAATTTATCCGAAACAAACCTCTCCTGTGTTTCTTTCTTTCTGGTAATGTTAAAACAAAATCAAGCAAAATCTTCCAAACAATCAAACAAACACCAAGAAGTGTTATCAAACTATGGTACAGCTCTTGAGCAAGCCCCCTTCAAAACCCGTGTAAAGAAATCCCCAAGCTTTGTACGCAATCAATTTCCATCTGTCGACTATACCCACCAATTCAACGAATCAATACTACTCCCACCAATCCTTGATTCGATTCCAACACACACAGAATCAAAAGACCCCATCTTTAGTAACGTTTTTCACCCCAAACAACAGCTCATGATTATGGGACTCTATGTTCAGAGTAAATAGAGGAGAAACAAACCAAACCACCGCCGATTGAGATGAAACAGGAATTCGAGCCCCCAGCAACCAGTTACCGAGATTCCCCGAGAAAATTTCTGATTCCGACGGAACTATCACCTGAAACAATCCACCAGAAAAAACGGCAACCAACATCAGAACCATATCATGTAGAAACGTTATGAGATTGGTGAAACACCCTTTTCAAATTCAATTAGCAAATGAAGAGAATCGATGGGATACAACAACTCAGATCGATATTTTCTCATGCTCCATCCTAATTCGAATCAATCTAACGCGATTCCGATCCTCTATCGGGCGCCTCTTATGGATCTCGGAACATAGATAGACACACTTCTAAGATTAAGCGGCAGTCTCGCTGAGATAAGTAAAAGGGAAATTTCTGCGACAGTAACGGTAGACAATATCTCAGTACAAACGTACCAGATCTCGAGCAAAGAATTAGGAGAGAACTGCCGGGGAATCTTTCGCCGTCGACCATGTCGCCGGATTCCGGCGATATATAGAGAGAGGGAGGGAAAGAGAGATAGAGGGAGGGAGAGAGAGAACGGAGCTGAAGGAAACTGACAAAAGAGAAAAAAGAGGGAGAGTTAAAATAAAAAACTGAAAACGCGGTGGCGTTTCTTTGCAATTATGCCCCCCAAAGTGTTTTATATTTCCAGAAAGGTCCAAATGTTATTTTCACTTTCCATTTCTCCCACCTACACTTTTTCTTTCCCCCTCTTTCCGGTTTGCTTCATCCAAAGGAGTGGAAATTTCGCCTGAGGCCACTTGAAAATGACATAACGGTACCCACAAAGAAAAAAGATGGCATATTGGTCAAAAGGAAAAACGATCTCGAACGATCAGAAGTACTTAACAGGGAGTTCTCGGATGATGCTTGTGTTTTCGCCAAGCAAATGGATGTTCACAGAGATGTAGATGAGTGATCAGGGCACAAATAATTATGCTTTTTGTAACAATGACGTGATATAGTATTTCGTACTAAAATTATGGGTTTACTGTTTCATAGTTCGTATTGTTATAATCACCTACTGGTTTGGAGTCGATACTCGATATTTTGCCTACTATGCGATTAAGCTGAGCAGCTTGCTTGCTGCGCTATCGAGTAATTGTGATGGCTACAATTTGGATTCAGAGATTTTGAAAAACAGAGCTCATAATGTGCAACCTTTGCCATTCATCTTCGCCTTGGTAAGGTTATATAGCTTCGACCACTGCAGTAACAACATCGTATCATTATGATAAGAGTCGTATCGCAGTTCTGGTAAAGAAGATATGACGTTATACGGATCAGGATTGTACACGGGAACTCAAACCATGATAAGGCACCCATAAGAAACTTTTATTTATTTATTTAATTATTTTAGTGATGGATCTTGAGATGACTGCTAGCTACATAATACTGTTGTTAGCCAATCATTTTCGCCTCTGATTAAGATAATTGTTGACTTTAACAATGATCATCATATGCAATAAGAACATCACTTCTTTTTTTCTCTTAATCAATCTCCCATCCCATGAATTCACTCATGACAAGACATCATTTCAACAGTAACACAAGCCTAACTGATGATCAAACCAATACCACCACATACATGCTCATTAGAGATCGAACATTGAACGAACAGCTAGAAAAAAATAAAAATAAAAAATGATAAATATGAAAACATAAAGCAACGGAGAAAATTAAATCTGGGTTAAGAGATAGATATACATATCTACTTTGTGAATTTGAAAAAGTTAAATTAAGAGAACCTAAAATCCGAGATAAGATTTAAGCGCGTGCATTATAAGAGCGCGAAACAAGGACCTGAGGATCAGCTGAGACCCTCCCACTACGCCTCGTAACCGGTTAATACGGATTGTTTTCTTCGTCTATTATCTGTATAAATACGACATCTCTAATTTCGAGTTCACAATAAAAAAATAGTTTATTAGTCCCGGCTCTATGTCTCGAACTTGAAATTGGTCTCTGTTTTGAACTTTTCTTTTGTGTTCCATTTTCCTTTTGAACTCATTGCCTTCTTCTAATTCTTTGGTCAGAACCAGGAGGAAAGGAAAGGAAACGGCAAAGGCTGAAAAGAATGATCAACAAACTGCACTTCTTCTCCTTTCCTTTCCTTTTTCCTTCCACCAGCAGCAGCTCCCCACTTTCAGTCCAATCACCTGTTTTAGATTATTGTTATTATTAAGATTCTCTATTTTTTTTCCGTCGTATTCTCGCCGGCCGTTAAGTCGGGCCGTTGACGCCGCCACTTCCACCCGCCATCTCTCATCCACATTCACATCGGCTGTTCGACTTGGATCGCCGTCCATTTCCCTGATGAATACATAGGTATCGGATTCGAGTCTTGGGAACTGTAATATTTTTGTTATAATTGTTTACACCCAAAATATTGTTGGCCGGGATTAAATGCCGCATTAATTAGTCTCGGCATTTAATTCGATGCCGCAGGTTAAAAAACGGTACCGCAAGAGAGCTCGCCGGTACCGCAAGGAAGCTGACCGGTACCGCAACACCGGAGACGACACCGCAGGCCGAAAATAAAGAGGCCGCTCGTTTAATGAAGGGGAGGAGGAATTGTGATTATTTAATTATTATTTGTTATTCCTTTGGAGTAAAACGGTACCGCAAGGAGGCTCAGCGGTACCGCGGTACTGGAAACGATACGGAAGAATAAAAAGAAGAAGGGCCGCGCGTGGGGTGTCTTATGGGAGAAGGAGTTTGTTTTTAATTAATTAATATTGTTAATCCTTGTTGGAGGAGGAAAATCGGTACCGCGAGAGCTTGGCAAGCGGTACCGATGGGCAAGTGACCAAAATTCACACGCCCAATGCGAGCGCCGACTCCGGCGGTACCGTGGATTAATATTTTTGGCTAAATCGACGGTGTCGTTTAATTTAAAACGGTACCGCGAGTAGACCCAACGGTACCGCGGATTAGCAAACGACAGTGTTTAATAAAAAAACAATGTCGCAAAAGGCAAAACAAACGGAGCCGTTTTGGCTCTAACGATGTTGTTGTTCGTGGACTAGTGATGGTCAGTTAATTAATATTTTAATGACTTTTTAGCACGGTGTCGTTAGTTGGAAACGATGCCGCAAAGGAAAGAAACGATACCGCGAGCAGGCCAAACGATGCCGCAACCGTTAAAACGACATTGTTTAAGATTAAAACAATGTCGCGAGGGTCAAAAAATTTAACGACATCGCGGGACAAAGAAACGATGTTGTTTAACTAAGAACGACGCTGAGGGGTGAGAGTTTGGCAATGCGGGTGTTTTAATTAATTAGCTTTGTATAACTATTTTAGACGGCGTCGTTTGAATACGATGCCGCGGAAGGTAAAAACAACCCTGCGGTACTAGGAAAGGAACGACATTGTTTAGTCAAAGACAATGTTGCAAGAGTTTAACAGTGTCGTGAAAGCGATGCCGTTTTGCCCAAAACAAGGTCGCGAGCTAGACGACGTTGATGAGCTTTAGTTCAGTGTTGAGAAATTCAACAACACCGTGAATTCAACAAAGTTAGGCATCAATGGTGGGAATCCGACGAGGCCGGGATGCTAAGAGTTACGTCAATGTTGTAAGCCATGAATCACCATCGAAAGTGACATTGATATTGTGAGTGCATCGATGTTGCAAGGCTGGGAGCTCAGCGTTGCGGTGTTGTTTGTCATACGCCGCCGTTTGATGAACAAGAATGAATGTAGTTTGGCTTGAGGAGTTGGGGGTGGATTATCGAACCCGGGTGGATAATTACAAGGGTGGCTCAATGTCGTTTTGTCGAGTTGCTGCTCAGCAAAGCGGTTTCGCACTCGTGGGAGTTACGCAACAAGGAGGAAGTTACCTGCACGGTTGACAGGAGTGAAGACGTGGGCGACAAAGGCGCGAAGGCAGTTACGGCGACGAGAAGAAGCGCGAAGTATAAAGATTGGGAAGAGAGAGAAGTTCGAGACGGCAAAATCAAATCACAAACTGCACCGTCGCAGATTTTATCTTTTCTCTCTCTACTTCGTAGAACCGCTCTGTCAAAGAACTCCTTTGCAGAGTCGTAGATCGTAGCTTGTAGTCGTAGTCGCGGAGCTCTCCAGAGGAACCTCCATAGGAGTAGAGGTAACGTAACTTAGAACACTCCTGGTTCGATTTTCTGTTTATTCGAACACCCTCGTTCGAACGTAGTTTGGAGAGGTGTTGAACCGAATAACAATCGTTTGATTAGAAGTCAAAGGTGTATCGATCAAATCAACGACGCCGACACCGGCGGCGGCCATTTGACGATCGTCTTTATTTCTGTTTTAATCGATCAAATCAACGGCGCCGACACCGGCGGCGGATATTTGACGATTTTTTGCTGACGTGTGTTTTGTGTTTTACTTGAAAACCAGTGCACATTGAATACGCGAGTTTCGCCAACGAAACAATAATTAATCGACAAAACGATGATGTCCATCTCTAAACTCTCTAAATATCGGAGATGATAATTTCGATATGATTCATTATGTACAACATATTTTAGGAGTCGGTGTGGATACAATGAGACATCCATTGGTTTCGATTTAAATAAATTAATTCACCCTTTCTCAATCCGTTTTGTCTGAACATATTTATACTTTTACTAGAGTTATAAGTTATAACTACCCTTTTATTTTTTTAGAGTAGTGGTTGTTTTTTATATTATTAATAAAAATTTCAAGTGGATATACTTTCATGTGTCGATCCATTTCGATCCGCCTCAAGTCCTCACTGCACAATACTAATTATGTGGATCCACCTTGCTGCGAAGTGAGTATGAGTATTGAAACATTTATCAACGTGATCTCTTTGTCATTTCAAGTCTGAACCACTAATTTAGGGCTGAAAATCGCCCTGACCCGTCCATATCCCATCCCGTTCATGAAGGGTCAAGATGTATAACTGACCCGTCCCGTCCATGTCTCCTTCTTGATCCTGCCTGGCCCTCAAGGGAGGGGACTGATCGGGTCGGGTCAGTGGGTCAACCCTAATCTACACACAACTTTTTTTACAAATTACGTTTTGGTATCCGAACTTATTTTTTTCTTACAATTTAGTACCTAAAATTTATTTTTTACAATTAAGTCCTTAAATTTTGATGGTAAAATTACATTTTGGTACCCAATTTTTTTTATTTGCAATTTAGTACCTGAACTTTTAAAACTTTTACAAAAAGGTCCAATGTGGTATGAGATATTTGTTGTTACTAAGGTTCATAGGGTCAAAAGTGACCCGTCCCTAAATTGTCCCGTCCCGACCCTTATGGGGTCAAAAGTTGACTCATCCCTAAACTGATCCTATAGACAAACTGACTCATCCCGACCCTCAAGAACGGGACGGGTCGGAGCGGATTAGTGGATTTTTAGGGTCAAACTTACACCCTTGACCACTATGATGAACTTGTCTACGTGTGTTAACAAGAATCCGAATTTATTGTCTATGACGAATTTCTACTAAAGCAATGGAAAGAAAAGCAAAGGTTATCTATTATCATGCCACGTGACTCCAATTGTTACTTTTTACCTTTGATTTCTTTTTTTACTGTTAATGGGTGATTATCTTAATCAAGATTTGGACATCGAACATCGGAGAATGTCGACATTGCGATTTGCGTGTCGTCTTAGGATAATTAAATTAATTAAGTACCGTTTAAAAGGTCAAAAAGGCAAGCAGAGCATGCGCATCACAAACAATTAGATATTATTTACATTGTGATCAGTGTGCACTAATTTTTATTTATTTATTTTGTTATTGTTGCTAAATATGGACAATACAGCTGCCGGCTTTCCCTTAATGCCCGAAAGTACTTACACCATAAAGATTAACAAATCGAAAATGGAGGTCTAAGTAATACCAAGTCAAATGCAAAGTAGGAGAGATCTTACTTTTTTAATTATTGTATTGGATGTGAGGCTACCCAACTTGCAATTTTATTTAGTTTTGTTGATCCATGGTGGTTAGTGATATGAACATAACAAGCAAGCACGTGAACTACAGATCACTGTTCAATAAATAAGTGGAACGCATTAGCTGTCCGTTCCCAGACGGGGAAGTAACGATCGAAGAAAGGTAATAACTCATTTTTAAAATAAATATTCTTAAGACCAAAGAGTGGGCAAAAAAAAAAGGGGGAGGAAAAGCTAGCTAGCTCTCCATTGAATCTCGATCCTATGTGCTGATGCTCATGATTTCGATAATCATACCAGTGATTCGGAGGAGATTACTCGAAAAGTGTATATAGTGTTCATTTCGGCCAACGTGGCAAAGTAGAGATTGAGAGCGAGGACATAATAGACTAGATATAGTCGATGCACGCAACAAAGATTCAAACACAAGAGAACAAATGTAAACAACAGAAATTGTGATGATCACCATACTGACATAAGATCATGCATAGATAGTCTGATATTATAGCCGGTGACACATACTGTTGTTATTCCCATTTCGTATATTTTTTTTGTGCAATTACCCATATCAGACTAACACCCTAAATGAAAAAACACTAGTCATATCAAATGGATAACATTAAGCTTTCTATGCATCCATGCATTATTTGATATTGATGCTCTCTCAAGCTAGTACAAATGTACAATGGGAAGCAAAATAGAACATGAAGACAAAAAAAGAAAGGAAGAAAGAAAGAAAGAAGGGAAAAGGCCGCCGCAACCAAGGTTCCCGTCCTTATACAAAACTTCTTTACGACCATTGGCTGGCTGCGCATGGAATGGAATGGAAGAAAAGTAAAGAAGAAGAGAGGGAGAGACGTGCACAGCTTCTTATCCAGTTTGGTCGAAACTTCAAACCTCTCTTATTCCTCCTCCACTTTCCAGTTGTTTGCTTGCTTCTTTGGTATATTATTATTCAATACCACCCACTTGCAGTAAACAAAGACCCATATGTAAAAGGCTTCCTATAAGAACACGCCCAGAAATGGCGAAAGACTTCATGATTCACGTGTAGTTTGGATGCATACCACTGTTGTCTGAATGAGATAGGCGTAAGCATGTCGATCAGTTTTCATTTGACGCATAGTGCAGGCGAGAGCGAGACAAATCATTCATGTTCACTTTTGAAGAGGCGTGAACACAAGTCCTCTTCTTTCGAAAAGACGGGTTCAAATTGTCATCCTGGAGAGGGTGCAAAACCATTGATGTCTACTCTTTATTTCAACTTGAAAGGAGGATAAGGATGAAAGGGTCAAATAAGGGCAACCCATTTTAGTTACATTTCTTTGTAATGATAAATAAACAGCTTATGGTTTCATATCACTCTCAAAAAAGAACATCAAAGAAAATTCTGTATTCCTAATCTTCAACCAACCACTACAAGATAAGATCTGCATAACATGACCCTACACTTCCAAAGGCCATTTTTAAATTCAACTCTTTCTTTCACAACCCTTCTTTCTATACTCTCAAATTATAAGAGAGTTCCTTTCATCATCCCCTGAATCATAAGGACAGTCGAAAAGGCTCAAAAGGATTCTCAATGGGATGTATGAGAGGTTCTTTCCACTGTACATTAAGGACACAATAAAATACCATATCATTCAACGAACTCAAAAAAGAAAGGCAAGTTGGAGATGGAGTGGCTTTGAGTCAGTGAAGATCAGGTGAGTTTGTGTTGTTGTTGGCTTCATTCTCAGCGGATTCGTCGCTGATGCTGTTGTTATCTCTGCTGCTGCTCCCGTCCGAACGTTCTTCTCGCTCTGGCCTGATACGCTTGCACCAACACGAGTAGTCCGGGATAGGACCGTCTTCTCCGACAACCCAAGGATGGTTCGATACAGCGTCCAAAGTAAGCCTTTGCTCGGGGTCTATACATGCAAGTGACAATTATATCAGCAAAGGAAATTGGGTTACGAGAGAGGAAGAGGAAAACTCAGTGGCAATTCCTCACTCACCTTTACAAAGAAGCCCTTGGAGTAAGTCCTTCAGCTGAGGATTCATTCTATTAGGTAGCACTAAGGGGTTATTGACGATCTAAAAGGGAAAAGAAACCCGAAACTCTTAGTTAAAACATAATTATGACAGACAAGAGAAGGGGAAAAAAGCAAAGCTTGCTTGCCTTGTCATATGTGTCCTGCAATGTTTCACCAAGAAAAGGGTACTCTCCCAGTATCATACAGTATAACGTTACTCCAACTGCCCAAGTGTCCGCCAATTTGCCATGATATGTTAAACCTGTTGGATGAAGCGGCAATGGTTGTTAAAGAATGTTGATATCCTCACTAATCATGATCAAAGTTACAGAATAACTCTCACCTAGACAGCACTCTGGTGCAGTGAACACCGGGGTTCCGGGAGACCTACGGAGTTCGTCATTATCATCCTGCAGTCGTGGTAAAGATAGTATCAATGTCAATCATGCACAAGTATTGTACTAGCATCTATAAAATTAAAATGGCCCAACCACAACTAAAAGGGTAACACTGAATGTCTTAGGAATAATTCTTGAAATGTCAAATTTCTTGAAACAAATGGAGTTGGCAAAAAAGGATGAAATGGGAAATTTATAGCATCCTTTTACCTACAAAATTAATGCTAAAATCAACGCAATACAGGTGCACACAATTAGCCGGAAGTGATAAAAACTTGGAGGTTTCAATTGCATAATCTCTTATTAAGTTACTAAGCAAAATTTGACCATGACCTCATGTTCGTTCCTACCATGGACTAGACAGAATTAGACAGAGGAAGCTGAAATGGGAAGGGTTCTGATATCGATAAAATAAACAAAGGTAGGCATTGCATTATGATTATCTTCCATTCATTCAACATTAGAACATTGCTGGGTTGACAATTTAATCATGAAACAGCAATGAACCCACAAATACATATAAACTACTTATGCTGATTTACCTCAAATACTTGGCTGACACTAAAATCTCCAATTTTAACAACTCCAGTGCTGGTAACCAATAGGTTATCTGGTTTGATGTCGCCATGTACTATATTCTGTTGTAAGATCAAAAGAAGAGAAATTAAACAAATGTCAAATAACGTTCATACCAGCATGCAAGATTAATGAACTATCAAGCTTCTGAGAATCGAGAAAGACTAAAGAGGATGCCCCAAAAACCAACAATGCCATAGCTATAAACGAAGAAGGCAAGCAAAAGGATGCTAATTCAAAATGTAATAACCATTATATAACCACAATAATATGAGCAAAAAATCAGGCTAAAAGGGTCTTACATGGGCGTGCAGATACATCAGACCAGAAACAATATTTCGCAAATACTTCCTAGTAGTATGTTCTCCAATGCCGCCAGGAGGGCCACAGCCTTCCCAGACCCACTTCCCATCAACATATTCAAGAACTGGTACAACATAAAACAGAAATTTCAGTGATGGGAACCAATGATCAGCATGCTGCAACAAAGGGGGAGCAAAATAAAGTAAATACCCATGTAGAAGTGATCTGTGTTTGGGTCATCAATCACCTCAATGAGATTGACTATATTAGGATGTTGCAACATCTTCATGATCAGAACCTACAAGTACAAACAATGTTAGAACCATTAAGAGATTTAGTTGTTGCAAGGGATCACTGCCAAGACACTGAAAGATACCTCTCGAAGAACATCAGACATTGCTGTCTCAGACGGGGCAACCCGCAGCTTCAAAAGATGAGACTTGTGGAAGGACTGCAATCCAGAAAAAAGGTTATAACTTTATGAATAACTAATAATGACATATAAAAGACCACAAGTTTTCATTTTTTTTATAAATTATGCAGTCATGCTTGATGTCACTTGGTTAATTAAGAAGTAACCTCAACAGAATTTACTGAGATAAAATTCCAGTATGCTATCAACTGAAAGAAGGTAGCATTGGCAGTATCGTACCTTTATTGCATAATTCTTTCCATCTATACTGCTTCGGTACAAAACCTGATCCATAAAATACCACATATCTTTAGCTTTCCAGCCAACATGCTAAGATCGTCTTATTTTAAGATGTTGATGTGAAATAAATTGGCTGAGATGCAGTCTTACCACTTTACCATAGCTACCAGCACCAATCTTGCATTCGCGAACATACTCATTGATCATTTTATTTCCATTTTCATCCTGAGACAAATTCATAAATATTCCCAGCATGAGAAAGAATTCTAGATGTGAAATGATTCTTCTCATTCATGCAACAGCAGCAACATATCATGTTGACATGCAGCTATGTCTGATGCTGATTAAAATTTCACAAAAGCAAAATTTCCACCATCCAATATTGCCTTAAGTTGAGGATATCACACAACAAGCAGGTCAGACTTAAACCCATCCAGTATACGGAGAATGGGCAGGGAGTCCACTTCGTAATATAAAACAAATGATTTCCTACACATATCATAAATTCAAGAGCTTCATTAAACTACACTAGCAAGCAGGCAGTTGCATGAAGGGAGACACATAAATACATGACAAAGGCACATGCTAAATTATCTTGATAAATACCTCTGAACGAACTAGTGTCCGTGTCTCCTTGACAGGAAATTGTCGGCAAACCATTCCGTTTTGCTCTTTAAATTTTAGTATATCTTCAGACCGATTCGTGCAGCATGGCATCATCCCATCATCTCCATAGACAGAGTCTGTAATGTCCCCATTGTATGAGCCATTGTCGTCATCATCAATCTCTTCATCTAACAAGAATTCCTGAGACAGGTTGGGAGTTCTCACAGGAACGTGCCTTGATTTTTGCTTGGTTCTCTTTATTAATCCAAAACAGCTACAGCAGCCAATCGCTCGGGCAAAATAATAACTCTTACGGAACATCGAAGCCAGAACAAACTAATTACTCAGAAATTTCTCAACAGCAGAAAAAACAACCGAGTTCCTAATCCTGAAAACAGAATAAAGCTCAAATTAAGCATACCATCCACAAGCATCTCACTCATCAACCAACCATTCAGAACAATATCTTAAAACCCTAGAGTCATTTCCAATCAGCAACTCATCGCTGAGCTCACAGAAAGTACCCAGACCAACAGGTTTAGAAGGGATGAAAGAGGGAACAATTTCAAACCTGAAAATCCACACAGGGACGGGAACAGGCAGCTGTCTCTGCTATTCCAAAGGGTGTCATTCAGCTAAGTGGAACGAAAAGCTTATGATGTTAAAGATACCAGAATTGCAACCAAACATCCTTGTAGCTCCAGTTTGCTTCTATGTGTACTCAATCCCACAACACCTAAGCGTTGACCCTTTGCCAACTCCAGGGAAACAACCAAAATAAGCAAAGCTTTCGATCGCCTGAATTAAAATAATGGCCATTAGTTTAACAGCAAAGCATACCACCATGAGGTCATCAAGCACGGAAAGAAAGTAGAACATTTGGCGTAAACCCCATCGGAGGATAACATGCCTTACGTCCAATGACACCGACGGCGAAGATTGTAACAATCAGGCAGACAAGCCTTTCCGCTTTCCGCCCACTTCAAAGGCGGACGATTTTGAGCAAAATCAAAAAGATAAACGAAGGAAGGCAAGGGAACAGTTCAGAATTGGGAATTCGTCCCCTCGAGATCCCAGATGAAAGAAAATTTCTGTGCAGGCGAAATGTTGCAGGGACACAAATAGACAGAATTCGAAGCTTAAGGTAGAAGAAAAGGGGAAACCCTAGGGGTGGAAAATCGAGAGAGAGAGAGAAGGTTGATTGGTGTTTGATCTGCAATTGCGGGGATTTTGGAGGGGCTGGTTGGAAAAGGGCTGCTGAGACGTGGGTTCGACGGTGGGGGAGAATAGGTTTGGTTTCTAACGCGCGGCGGCGGTGAGCGGCGGAGTAGAGCAGAGGCGGGGAGAAAGGGAAGAAGAAAAATGGCGGAGAAAAAAGAAAAAGGGAGGTTGGCGATAACGATATTTTGTCTGTTTCCTGTGAACAGACCAGCCAGGGTGGCTCAACCCCCTTTTGTGGGCCTAGTGGGCCTGCTTTGGGTTATGGGCTGCGGGGGTTTTGGTTCCCCATTTTAACCGGTTTTAGGTTCGAAACAAATTCGTTTCTTTCGGTTTTTGTTCGGAACAAGAAGTGATAGATTGGGATACGATTATTGGTATGGAATGTCAGCTGGCCGAGGCCTATAGGCAAGAGGAAGCTTATTGGAGACAGAAGTCACGGGTGGACTGGCTCCAAAAAGCAGAGGCTAACACTGGCTTCTATCATGCTAAAGTCCGGCAAAACAGGAGGCAGAACAGAATTGAAGTCTTGCGGGATGAGAATGGTGGTGTCCATTTTGATGAGGAATCCAAAGGGGTAGTGGTTGTGTCTTTTTACCAGCATCTTTTCACATCGGATGGGAACCCCCCTCACTTCCTCCTCAATGCCCTTGGATTGCCTCGGAAGGTAACAGGGGAACATAACCTCTTTCTATCTGCCCAGGTATCAGCCGAGGAGATCAAAAAGGCGGTGTTCATCTTAGGAGCGAATCAAGCACCTGGCTCCGATGGGTATACTGCGGCCTTCTTCCAAACCTTCTGGGACATCGTTGGGGGCTCGGTTGTGGCAGCAGCTATGTCCTTCTTTCGTTCGGGTCGTTTGTTACATAACTTCAACCATACGCTCCTTACTTTGATCCCGAAGGTGCCCAATGCGGATCTCATGAAGCAGATGCGACCAATTGGCTTGTGTCAGGTCTTTTATAAGGTAATTGCTAAGGTTTTGGCAGGTCGGTTGAACCAAGTACTGCCGGTTATAATCAGTGAGGCTCAGAACGGGTTTGTCAAGGGTAGGGATATCTCAGATAATATTCTTATAGCACAGGAGGTTATGCAGTTTCTCAAAACCAAATCGCAGGGGCGTGAGAAGTGGATGGCTGTGAAACTCGACATGGAGAAAGCGTATGATCGCGTAGAATGGGGTTTTTTGTTCGCTCTAATGGAAGTTCTGGGTTTTGATGCGCAGTGGATCAAGTGGATGAAAGCGTGTGTTACCTCAGTCACGTTTTCTCTGATTTTGAACGGGAATGAGCATGGCTACTTTCGTCCTCAGCGGGGCATTCGGCTGGGGGACCCCCTGTCCCCTCTATTATTTGCCATCTATTCCGAAGCATTCTCGGCGATGATTGATGGTGCTTTATCGATGGGGCAGCTCCACGGCCTGAAAGTCCATCGTAATGCTCCTATTGTGTCTCACCTTCTGTTTGCAGATGATTCGTACCTCTTCTTGCGGGCCTCAACTGCGGAATGCTCCTCGCTCCTGGCCCTCCTCCAGAATTATGAACTTGCAAGCGGAGCAAAGGTGAACCTTTCCAAGTCCTCTGTTTACTTCAGCTCCAATGTCACGGAACAGGAAGCTGCTTTGTTGGCTGGACAGTTGGGAATTTCGGCTGTAGGACCGCTGGACAAGTACCTAGGCTTGCCTTCCCAAATCCAGAGATCCAAGGTAACAACCTTTCAATATGTGGAGGATGCACTGGCAGGTCGCATTCAAAGCTGGAAGACCAAGGCTTTGTCACTGGCAGCAAAAGAAGTCATGATTAAGGCCGTCGGCTCGGCTACCCCGGTGTATACAATGCTCTCTTTCAGGATGCCCTCCACAAGCTATCGTCGGCTGAATAGTCAGGTGTCCCGGTTTTGGTGGGCGGGGCAGGATAGAGAGAAGGGTATCCCGTGGATCTCTTGGCCGGCAGCTTGCACGAGCAAGTTTGAAGGTGGGCTTGGGTTCAAGGACTTCGATTTGTTTAATGTGGCCATGCTGGCCAAGCAGGCGTGGAAGTTGGTTCGTGATCCCTCATCCACTCTGGCTCGTATCAATAAAGCGAGATATCATCACAACACAACTTTCCTTAAGGCTTCAGCTGGGAACCGACCCTCTTGGGCTTGGCAAGGGGTCCTTGAAGGGAGGAAACTTTTGGTCAAGGGCCTTCGCTGGCAGGTAGGGTGTGGGACGGCAATAGACATCCTGCAGGACGCCTGGCTCCCCTCTTCTCCACCTTCTTCCCCGAAGCTGCTGGATGGGGTTGTCCTCGCAAATCCGTTCGTGGCGTCGCTGATACACCCAATCTCGCGTGGTTGGAACTTGGAGCTTCTCCGTCAAACGTTCCATGGTGACAGTGTCAACCTCATCCTTTCGATTCCCCTGCCAGCTTCTCCATCTCCGGACTGGTTAATTTGGCATTATGCTCCGGATGGGATCTATTCCGTGAAGACAGGATACCAGGTCTTATCGGCAGCGCGCTCCGCGAACTTCGCGGCGGTCTCTCCTCATTGTGATTCCAAGTTTTGGAAGCTCCTGTGGAATCTTCCCATCCCCCCCAAACTTAAATTTTTCCTTTGGAGGCTTGTTCGTGGGTTCCTCCCACTGCGAGCTGTCTTAAAGCAGAAAACATTATGTGATGATGATTCTTGTCCAGTCTGTTCGGAGGCGGCTGAGTCCATTTCTCATTGTTTTTTCACTTGCAGGGTAGCGTGTGAGGTCTGGAATATTGCTGGCCACGACCGGATTAGGCAGGCGGTGGGTACTCTTTCCCCGGACGCTGCGTGGCGGCACATTTTCTTTGATATGCAGCTGTCCAAGGTGCAGATAGCGGAACTCGTCTTCCTAGCTTGGCGGGTGTGGAAGGGCAGGTGTTGGGCCACCTACGATCATCTACAGTACCTGGCCACAGCACTTTACCGTCAATTTTCTTCGCAGGTTAGTGAGTGGTGGGCGGCAACGAGGAGCTCTAGCACCGATGGGCCAGCAAGTCGACAACCTGTTAGGCCGCCGCCGGTGGTCTCGAACCCGCCTGGAGGAATCTTGGTAAGGTTTGATGGAGCTCTCCGGAAGGATGTCGGTGGGAGTACGGGGTTCGTGGGCTTTGCTGACGGGGGGTCATTGATCTGTGCATATGGTAAATCCTACACAGGTTTGTCTGACCCTTTTCTTGCAGAGTTGTTGGCATTACGAGATGCTATGTTATGGTGTTTGAATCAGGGATATCTCACGGTTTGCTTCTGTGGGGACTCTCAACTTGTGATCCGGCGAGCGCGGGAAAATGATGTTCATCATGTATCGGGGGGAGCCATCTTGGAGGAAGTCCGGCGCCTAAAGTCGAGTTTTCAGTAAATTCATTTTGTTTTTGCTTCTCGTAGGACTAACAGGGCTGCCCATTTAGTGGCGAAAACGGCTCTTGCATCGGTATCTCAACACTCGGTTGACTACCGCTATTTACTTTTTCCTCATTTGTAATCAACTGTCTATCTACCGTCTATCTATGGCAAAAAAAAAAAATCAAAGTGAAACCGGTGTTGTATCCAAAAAGTCAGTTGTATGCACCCAGAGCCAGGGTGGACATGCCTCAACACAGATGGTTCCGCTTACCACGCTCCTTCGAGTACGGCGGCAGGCGGGGTCGTCCGAGGGGACGACGGCCGCTTCATTATTGCTTTCACCATGAACCTTGGGGGGGAGGGGGGGTTCGGTCACCAGTGCCGAGTTAGCTGGAGTTGAGCAGGGGCTGAGGTTTGCTTGGGAGGCAGGGGCTCAGAAGGTTCTCCTGCAGACGGACTCGACAACAGCCATCAACCTCATTGAGACAGCAGATCATCAGCATTTGCACTTCACGAGAGTTAAGCAGATCCGACAACTTCTAGCCAGAGACTGGCAGGTCAGACTGACTCATATCTACAGAGTAGCTAACGTCGTCGCAGATTACTTGGCCAATCTGGGCCATACTTGTTCGTTGGGAACCCATAGGATCCATGTGCCCAATAGTGTTCTTTCGTACTGGTTGTATCATGACTACGTCGGGGTTAAAACGACCCGTATGATTCCTCGTTAAAGGCTGGGACGCCCTTTTGCGTCCCGTTTTTCCACCAAAAAAAAAGTTCAGTTGCATCTCATTTTGATGCTGAAATTGTAAATTAGTTGTGGCTCAATTGTTTCACAACGTTAAAAGGATTTAGACTGTATTATAAGATTTTTTGTGGTAAGATCGCCGATGTAGTAGGGTTTCATAAATACGGTCATATCTTCCTTTCGTCGAATGCAAATTAATAGAATACAATTTCCCTCATCGATAAGGCGTTGTCATTGTATCGAGAGCTCGTAACTTGAATTATTGTGACCTATGATGATGGTGACAAATATTTTCTAACATCAACTTTTTGGGGTTTGTTTCTCAATTGTGGTGGGTCCATCGTCAAATGTTATAAGCATCTCTAACATGAACTATCGGGAAGATTACTTTCATTCGTCATGCACCGCACACTAACTAGTGATGTTCTTTTACAGTGGATGGTTTAGGTCATTGGATCAGTGTACAACAATCCACAACTGATGATGAACGCCACCACATATATCTAGGGATTATGAATTAGGCGATTTCACATTAATTAGGTTATGGACTTATGGTTCATATAAGTCATCAAATTGAGACACAACGATCCACAATTGCTACTAAATTGCTATTGAAAAGTCACCACATATATTTAGTGGTTATATGATTCGCAATTGATATTGAATGTCACCACATATATCTAACGGTTATATGAACCACGCAAAGTGCTTGATCCGACGGTCTCCTTCTCCAATTCAAATCACATCAAGCAAACAACCTCTATCATGTTTGTCTAATTGTCTTTGTCAATGCTGAACATCCCACGTTTCAACCAACCAACAATCCTCGTACTTCATTCAACCCCGCAGTTGTAACAGCAAGCTGCTAGTCAATGATAGTGGCGTAGCCGGGGTGGGTCCAATGCTGAAAAGAAAATAATCCATAAGTTATACCAATGTTTTTACCATGGGGCGCACGACATGTTTTCAATTATGAAAAGTATGTAAAATACATTCATCATCCAAACGATCAAGGATATCTCTAACAATGTAACGAACAAAAAAAAAACCATTCATGAATTCATCATTCTTCCAATTTCGAAGTGTCATTGCATATACATTTTCGTGTTATTCATCACATCCCTCTTCTTTTCCTAAACCCCACGCCAATAAAGGTTTAACTTTTAAGGAAACGATGACAACTAGATATAAGATTATACATATTGATCTTCCAATTGTTGCATGAAAAAAGAAAAAGACCAAGACAAGTATTGATCATTCGAGCTGCAACCTCTCTACTGCCGTGAAGCCTAATGTTGACAACTCTCTGAGCTATACTCCATATATTCTGCAGAATTACTTGGTTCTAATGATCAAAAAGAATCCCCTCCTCTGGATGTCGTTCTTTGAGAGCTACCCATATGCTTACTACTACCGTAAGTGGTTTGGGGAGGAGGGGTAGCTTGTGTGACCTTATGGCTGTTAAGGTTCGCCAGAAACCAAAAGACAACATAAAATTTGGTTGCTAACAAAAAGAACCTGATACACTTCTAAATAAATGGTTCTACAATCTTCCCTTAGTCATAAACCCATAAACCAACAACCTATTATCATACTCAACACAACAACCCATCAACTTAATTAGATTCTCCTCCAACACCCAAGACCAAACCAGATAAGAACGAGAACTCTAAGAAGGAAAGTTTGCTGCTGATGGTGTCTATTTTAGTAAGAGAATTACAAAGTTGCCAAGTAACTATGTTGGGTAGGGCATTTGGGATGGAGAGATTTGTGGATTTGGGCTAGTAGGGTTTAAAAATGTCAAAAATCCTTTGCTTACCTTGTGTTTGGGTAGGGTCGTAGGGGGAAAGAATGTTCATAGTGTGAACGATTTGGTGATACTTTTTTGTGGTATTTAGATTATAGCTATGTTGCTGCTTGCATTTAGTTACCTTTTGTTGATATGTGTTGCAACTATTACAGTTGGTAGTTTTTTTTATGAATTGAGTCATGTTGTTGGATGATGACTGGTGTTTATATCTACAATATTGTTCATTCATTCTTTCTATGCCATTTGCATTCTTTACTACAACCATTCATAACGAATATATACATTAGTTCAAGCCCCTAACAAAATGCTATCTCCGCTTTGTGTTCAACATTGGCGGAGAGATACCAATTTTCTTCACTTTCTCACCATATCTTTCTTCAAAATATTTGAGCAGTGAAATTTACCACTCTCCCCAGCGTTGATATTACATCGGTTTCAAGTGGCTTGGATTGATTAGAATGAGTGGAAGATAAGTATATTTTGATACCACCCATCGTCATATTTCTTTATCTTTTGCAAAGTCTTGTTTAAACAGGAAATGACAACATGAAAATGACAAAAAATAAGTTTTGTCATAATAGGTCAAATTTATTGTAGTGTTAGGCGCCCCAGACTACTCCCCACATCATCCCGTTGCTCCCCCAGACCTAGTCATTTGCTGCCAAACCTCCGGGCAAAACTAATTTAATTATTCCCCAATCAACGACCTACCTGCCTACTATGGATGATCTACTGAATGTTGATGTAGAATGGACTCTCCATGGGCCCAATGCTGCTCTCTTTGGTGTTTCTCCCTCCAGCTCCCATGACCATATCAGGTAAGAACGAGGACTCCGGAAGGGAAGTTTCTTGTTGATGATGTCCATTTAGCAAGAGAAGTACACCGTTGCCAAGTAGGTGTGTTGGGTAGGGCATTTTGGGATGGAGAAATTTGCCAGTTCAGATATGTAGTGTTTAAAGAGCAATGTATTTAGATGATTTGCTAATTTTTTGTGTGGTTATTGGATTATAACTATGTTGTTGCTTGCATCTAGTTACTGTGTTGAGATGTGCTGCAACTGTTGCGGTTGGTAGGTTTTCTCTGGATTAAGTCGTGTAGTTGGATGATGATTGATGTTTATATTTATAATATTGCCCCCTCATTCTTCCTATGCCATTTGCATTCTTCACCAGGACCATTGATCACGAATGTAAGTAAGTTCAGTCCCGTAGCAAACTTTGACTATTCTCTTTTTTATCGTGACCTACAACATATGCTATTGGGTAACTCACGCATTTCTTTTCCTATCTTCTTATGTTCTCAATATCTTACTTTTGGTGTTTGTGATGATCATTTTTGCAAATTCCATTTCTTCCCGGGAGAGTACCTTGATTCTATGAGGTGAGGAGTTCAATAGTTGTGACTAGATAGTAGGAAAATATTGAAGGATCGCATTTCCCTTTCACTTTCAGGTGGAGAGAGAGTGCCCAAGTTTTCTGCCACACTTCGTCTTCGCTAGTATTAAGTTCATCGATACGATACAAATCGTCTCTGTATCTTTTTTTTTAGAATGACAGAGTCGTTAGTGTATGAAACTCTCAGAAAGACCACATAAGACTTTATCCACGATAATGTGCGGATTCGCGTTGAGCTCGATCGTGTGCATGGACTCATGATGAGGAAGGTTGCAGGGGAGGTCCAAGGCTCTGAATCATTGTTGTTGAGGAGTTAATCAAAATTATCGTCAGGGAGGGTCTCCCCTTCACTTTCACCCGAACAGGAAGGTCGAGCACCTGATTTCTCAAAGAAGAAGTGAGTCGATATAGAACGACGCAAACATAATTCTTCTTCTTCAGATCATACATGTCTACCTTAGTGATGTCACTGATAATAATTGTGATTAACCCCTCAACAACAATGAGTTCAAGGCCTTGGACCACCCCAACAACCTTCCTCATCGTGGGTCCACGCACGCGATCGAGGAGCCAGGGCAATTACATTGAATTGTGTAGTCAGTTAGATTTTTTTTTTCAAAATAGCCACTTCACTCCCTGTTTTTCTCGTTCTAACTATCGTCATACTAGCGTGCCAATTCTCCCAAATTGTTGAAAAACTTCCACCGAATTAGATATCACACGCGAAAAGGAAAACAAAAAAACATACATACACACATTGAAGATGATTTCGAGTTTTGGTAGAAGCAAAGTCGGGTTGTTGCTACTCAAGTTCGTGCCTTTTTATTACGCTGCCGCACATCTCTTCGACGGAGACAACAAGAGAACGAGTTCATAAAATTAGACATGGCATTGTTCAAGCATATGGCTACTCAATGGCAAGTGAAGTAGAACACAGTCCTATGTTGCAAAGGTGAGAATGGCCCATCTATATCCAATGATGAAATCATTTTGTGTTATGAATATAGATAATATTTAGAGAGAATCTAAAGAGAGAATTAAAAGTGTGAAATGTAGTGTAGTGGTTGAGTCCCGCTTGTTAAAGGATTCGAGAGCCAACTCTATCTAAGAGATTTTTTGCTTAATGGATTTAGATGATGAACTTGAGTTTCTATCGTGGATATAGCACAAAACAATAGTTTGGGGATCCAATATGTGGGGATGATGGACTTTGAACGTCTAAACCTATGGACCCACGGATTTGCAAATATCATGTTAAGGGGTGGAATTTGGAGGATGACCATAAATCCATGATCTATAAAAAAATTCAGAGATATTCCATGCATCTCTCTATTCAATGGGTCTGGTTATACAAATGTCAACTTCCATTCTCTATGTATACCGCTACATGCCTTTGCCACATCCTCTCATGCCTGATCCGGAACGTCACATCTTACTATGATTGGGGATATGTTGACAATACATTTTTTTCAAATTCATTTTTTTTAAAACCCATTTTTTACCAAAATACTCATTTTTTAAATCCATAAAGTAAAAGAACGTCGGGCTCGTTTGGAGAACAGGATTCAGGACATGAATTCACTGAATCCGTAGATTTTATAAAAAAGTTATGTTTTTTTGTTGCTTTTTGTATTGTGGATTCTAGGTTTAGAGATTTCAAATCTCTAAAATCTACGGATATCAAATCTCTCATAATCAGAGAGATTCTATATCTTGATTCGTGAAGTTTTTTATCTCCTAGTTTTTCTCTTCATTTTATTTATTTATTTATTTATCACATGAAATATATTTATCAACAAAGTTTTTAATATTTCTCGAACCACTCTAATTTTTTTATTAAGGATAAACATGTTATTTAGTATAAAATTAAAAAATTTATTTTAATTGAATGTTAACAATCACAGTTACCAAATAATAAACATTTTAAAATCTGTTTTCAACAATCTAAGATTTATTTTAATTGATTGTTGACAATCTATAGATTTAAACTCATATTCTCCAAACTAAAAGTAAAGTATACATGAAACTACAATTGAAAAAGGAAAAATGAAAAACATAAAAAACGGAGGAATGAGGATCCACGAGCCCAATCATAGTTTATGGCCCAAACCCAGAAGGACCAAATAGCCGAAGCAGTCCCAAGTTTCTGTCTTGAGATCGAAGAAAACTCCGCTTCTTCTACTCGTCTTCTTCAGCTCTTGTATGCACACAAACGAAAAAAAGCCAGACGAGGAAAGTAGACTGAGCATCGTTTCTCCGCATCAGTAATCGAGCTGAAACCCTCCAACGGCGAGCAACGATGAGTAGCATCGGTACCGGTTACGATCTCTCCGTCACTACTTTCTCTCCCGACGGCCGTGTTTTCCAGATCGAGTACGCCGCCAAGGCCGTCGACAACAGCGGGTAAGCTGTACATCTCCCCGTCGTTAACCTTCCGTTCGTTTGTGTCCTAAGAAATTATGACGGAACCGAAGAAAGATGTGGTGGGCAGGGGACTGGAGAATGTCCATTCTTCTGGGCAGATTAAGATTGCCAGTCTTTGCTTCTCCCAGTCTGGCATTAGGGTTTTTCGCTTCGGGATTTGGGGGGTTTTCTGATGTGAAATTGTTGTTGGATTGCGCAGGACTGTTGTTGGAATCAAGTGCAAAGATGGGATTGTTATGGTAAATGTGCACTTCTTCCAATTCTCGTTTGGCCCTCTTTTTTCCGGGGTTGTTCAAGTTTCTTGGTTTTTGTTCAGTGGTTTTCACTAGAATTTGGTGGGTATTTACATTTTTCTGTGTGTTGGTTGGAATTTTAGGGTGTGGAGAAGCTCATAGCTTCCAAGATGATGTTGCCCGGTTCCAATAGAAGGATCCATTCGGTTCATAGGCATACTGGAATGGTACTCCTCTCACATCCCTCTCGCTTTCACTATGAGGGAACTCAAACCTTGAAGTCAGTTTTCTGGGCTTGTTGGTCTGTCATCTACTGGGTTCATTATATGTGTATTATGTGGTAGCGTCCCAATGAACTTGATATTTTCACATTGTTATATTGAGTGCTGATTAATGATTTCCACTTGGGTGTGATGGATGAAGCAAAATTTAGTAGGTTGCCTCTTTTGTTCCCCATGTTAGGCTGTAGTTTATCCATCAGATAATGTCATATGAACATTCCTTTGGGAAGTGTACAACAACCGCCTCTGCAAACCTCGTGCTCCACTCTGAGTTGGCTAGGGCTCTGCAAAGATTAGCAATAATGTAAACTTCAGTTGTGTGAGAGGAGGTGATCGTCTTACTGTGAAATCAAGGGGGGTAGCTTGTAAAGGTTACTTGTTCTGTCAATAGACCGTGAGTTCGTCGTCATAAGTAGAAATTGATGATTTCCCCCCTCATAAATGCCTTCTGTCAAACGTCAAGTATCCTCTATCTACTATTTCATGTTACATTACTAAAACTCTTACTTGCTATATTTTCATGCTGTGTACTTTGGTACGCCTGTCCTTACACTTTTGCTATCCAATTTCAGGCCGTGGCTGGCTTAGCTGCTGATGGTAGACAAATTGTTGCACGAGGAAAGTCCGAGGCAACCAATTATGACAAGTTTGTTATTCTTCTTCTGTCCTGCTTTGTAATGCTGCTTTTATTCTTCTTTCAAGATTAGCTAGTTCCTTTTAAGGATCCAAATCCTCCAAAACCTAGACTGATAACCCTGACTTGCTTACTGGTGAATAAAGCAAATTCCGTGCAACGATTTGTACTCCTGTTTGTCCAAATGTGGACTGTGATTGTTAGTTGCATAATTTGGTCAATTATAGCTGTATTTTTCCCATTAAACTCTGCAAGCCCCTTGTTCTTTTTATTCTGATATCTTTATGTTTTCAATGTGCTCTGATGTCTGCACACAAGGATTTTTGTAGGTCATGAATACTCGTTTGAGATTATCTGGTATCATCGAAATGCATGTTTTGCTTGTTCTTCCAATGCTGGCTACTTAAACTTCCAAGTGATACAAGTGCTAAGGATGTTGCCACTCTGTTCTCATGTTGCAGTACCTATGGCGAACCCATCCCTGTCAAAGAGCTTGCTGAACGTGTTGCTAGCTACGTGCACTTATGTACCCTCTATTGGTGGCTTCGGTAATTACTGATCTTTTGGTTCTCTATATTTGGATGTACTTTGTTGTCTTTGTATGTTGTTTCCTTGGAAGTGCTTCGTAGTAGTAGGAAAGGGAAAATGCTCTCATGTGCATTTTTTGCGTTGCAGACCCTTTGGCTGTGGTGTCATTCTTGGTGGTTATGACAGAGATGGTCCACAATTGTACATGATTGAACCCTCGGGAATCTCTTATGTGAGTTAACTTTTCTTACTTGTTTGGACTTGCTTTCCTTATAACCTTTTTATAAAAGCTTCACTATTGATATTGCTTGGACTCCATAATCTGCATCTGTTTGGAGCTTAAAGTAATTCTGATTCTCGATTCTCGGTCTTCTCTGCCGTATCCTTTTAGAACTTAATATCTTGCCTCATCGATCATTGTGTAGAGATATTTTGGTGCTGCAATTGGAAAGGGTAAGCAGGCTGCGAAAACGTAAGTCTTTTTGCTTTTTGCAATTCACTAGTTAGCATGATGCATTGTATTGCTCATTACTCCAATAGAAGGTGCCATGTACATAATGGTTCTGTAATTTGATTCACCTGCTAATGATGCAATATATGGTGCAGAGAAATCGAGAAGCTGAAGCTTTCAGAAATGACATGCCGCGAAGGAGTTCTTGAAGTAGCCAAAATGTGAGTGTGTTTTTGCCTTGAGTTCATGACTTCATGTAGTGGACTTCTTTGAGGGACGTTATACTCTTTTGCTGATGACTCAAGTCTCAATACCTTCTAGCGTTTCCAGCCTCAGTGGATCTTTGTTTCCGTTATTAATACTCTTTTGGTATCTGCTGACACCCATTCCCGTCTTCCCTAGATTTGCAAATTTCTTTAGTCCCATCTTTTGTCTGAAAACTAAAGATCGGCAATGTTATTTTATATTATGTAGCATTTACAAAGTTCATGATGAAGCGAAGGATAAGGCCTTCGAACTCGAACTGAGCTGGGTTTGTGATGAGTCAAACAGATTGCACCAGAAGGTATTTATCGTCCTAGACTCTTCGTGCTCATGAATCCTAACTTTTTTTACCGAGCTTCTCTATCTCTTCAATTATTAGTAATGAAGAAACGTTAAGTGTATAGACTAAATTGCTTGATAGCATATGAATCTAAAGACAGAAAGCAAATTCATGGTTGTATTTCCTGTGTAATTGCTGCTGATGGATGCTTGTATGTGATGTCAATGGTTTGCTTTGTTTCACAGGTTCCCGTTGAACTACTAGAGGAGGCCAAGTCTGCTGCAAGGACGGCACTCGAAGAAATGGATGCTGATTAGACACCCATTAACGTCGACTGAAGGATCATTGGGAAATTAATCGGAGCACCCGAATCGTCATCTCTCCAGAATCATTCAATCCCGATTTCCCTTGTCGAAAAGCATCTGAACTTCTTTTGTTGCCTCCTGTGGCAGTCAGTCCATTTAAGCTATGTGTATTTTAGTACATGACCTGCCAACTTTTCACTTGATCCTTTCTTCCTCAGCAACTTGAAATTTAGTGAAACACCGTGGCTGCTTCTTTGAAAGGAATGAATCCCATGTAAGAGTGGGATCTTACTCTCTTGGATCATCATCACTTTGAAATAGTTTAACAGCTTGCATTTCGAGAGCCCTTGCATAGTTGCATCAACTGTATCAGTCTCCTACCAGATGGAACGATGAACTTCGAGATCACGAAATGCCTTTCTCCTCTTTGAACACAACGTTTACGATGAGGGTCTAGGCTTACGGCTCTTTGGGGGGCGGAGCCAAAGGCTCGTTATCCATATTCGACATACGATGCAACCTGTGAGACATGTTGTGATTTGTAAATACACATACGAGCCAATCTGCTAGACAAGTCTCGAGTTATATATCGGGTTTGCTTCCAGACTTCGTTGATCTTGATCATGTGGCCATATCAGGTCACATGGTCTTCTTCTAGTAACTTGGGGCTAGAATAGATCATCCCAAGAGTTAATTATTATATAATTAATATTTATACTCTTTTCAAAACTTATTTCAATACCTCATTAAGTTTTAAATTGGGTGACAAATTCCTCTTAATATAATAATAATTATTATTATCAAATCAAAGGGAAATTAGCCCCACTGAAACGACAATTTAATAGAGGAAGCGAACCCCAAAACGCAAACGGTAAAGCAGGCCGAAGCCCAAAGGGAGTTTTTTTTTCTCTTCCTCTCTTCCGTAATTGTTTTTTATTTATAGAGTGGGGGAGGGGTTAGCTGACTGTAAGTTCGCCCTAGTCCGTCCGTGGTGAACGGAAGCACAATCCCGAAGAGAAACTTCAGGGGCCGGTGGAAGTTGAACTTCGGCGCTCTCTTTCCGGCTGCTTCTGACGGGGCCATTGTTCCTTAGATTCGTTACCGCAACGGCAAGTGAACAAAGACCTCCGGTGTAACTCTCTCGATCATGGGTTCAGGTGAGTTCCATACTCTCTTTTCTGGTGTCGATGTCTAGGGCTTTCGAACGTGACCCCGGATAATATCGTATGTCGGATTGTTTCTATTTGTGGGATTCGACAGTGGAGAAGTTAGCGTAATTGGGGTTTTCGCTGTTGGTATTCGTGTTTGTTTTCAGATGCAGATATGGAAGATTACGGGTTCGAGTACTCAGACGAGGAGCCTGAGGAACAAGATGTTGATATCGAGAACCAGTACTATAATTCCAAAGGTTTTTTTTTTCTGACCCTTTCTTTCCATCCTATTTCAAAGGGGGGAAGTTGTTTGTGTTAAGTGTTGTGGCTAAGGGGTTTTGTTCATAGTAAAAGTTGCATTCTGAGGTCTTGACCGTATGGAGGGCTCGTGAGGGTATTTTCATAGCTTGACTGTTGGATGAAGACTTGGGTTTACAACTGCAGTTTGTGTGGAACTTGTTGAGGAACATCGCAGTGGATTTTGTTGATCTTTTAGGTTGGGAATGAGCTTGAGGTGAGGATGGGTAGAACTGTAGAAGAGTCTTCTGGCGATGAAGTCTGTAACCCAATATAAATTTGTTTGTGAACTTGAAATTGGAAGCTACGATCACCATTTAGTTTACGCACTCAGATTTAGATACAAGCATTAGTTTCCCCTGGACTGTCGTGAATGAGAAGTTGTGTCTTTATCTATCTGGAGTTTCTTCTGTTATCCTTTGGTTTTTCAGCTTTATGGATATTTGTCTTCCTTAACAGCGTCTTTGTTTTGTCATGGTTATATGCATGTCTGTTCTCACAGAAAACCTTGTTGCTCAACTCTCTCCAACAGTCCATTAACTCTTCAAGCAATTTTTATTTATACCCTATCTAGAACTGTTTCTCATCCGGTTTCCTTAATCTTTGAATTTGTGAAAAGGTCTGGTTGAGTCGGATGCCCAAGAAGCACTCTCTGGATTCGCAGAAGTAGTCCGCATGGAACCAGAAAAGGCCGAGTGGTAATTCCGTCATTGTTATCTATAGTTAATTTTGTTGCATACTGAGCTTTCAGCTCACTTATCTCTTTTAACTACTCTTGTTGTTTCAAATTTAGAAGCTAAGACTACCAAAATTGTAGTTGAAGGCCCTTGTACCAGACACATCTGTCTTGGGCGAGCATACCTGTTAACCATGAACGTGGTGGTTTAGTTGTTTAATATCAATGAATAATGTGTTATGCCAATATAGTGACAAGGCCTTGTTGCTATAGAAGAACATCATTTACTGGAAGAACAATTGTTTGGTTGTTTTCAGAATCATTGTGACAACTGGGTGGGTTTTTGCAAATCCAGTGCTATGTTTGTTTAGGATGATAAGGTCGTTCTTAGGTGTTCTCTTTCAAAAGACTGATTTCCGGTTTGATCTGACCTGCACCTGTTGTTGTCAAACATTTCATGGCATTATGTTTATATTCAACATGAAATTGCACATGTATTTGTTCTGCTGCATTATGCGAGACGTTCAACTGAATGCTTATATGTTTTCTTGGCTCGTAGAATTGAGTTTCCTAATTCATTGACACTTCCATGCAGGGGCTTCAAAGCGCTAAAGCAAACAGTGAAGATTTACCATCGTCTGGGGAGGTATAAAGAGATGATGGATGCTTACAGGGAAATGCTTACATATATTAAATCGGCTGTGACAAGGAATTACAGTGAGAAGTGCATAAACAATATAATGGATTTTGTTTCGGGATCAGCCAACCCAAACTTCAGTCTCTTGCAAGAGTTCTATCAGACAACTTTGAAGGCCCTTGAAGAGGCAAAAAATGAGGTAGTAGTCTTTATAATTGCTATTTCCTTGATGATAGCAGGATGCTAATGCTAATGTGGTGCCCCTGTCACAGAGACTGTGGTTCAAGACAAACCTTAAACTTTGCAAGATTTGGTTTGATATGGGTGAATATGGTCGGATGAGTAAGGTAAGTCGTGTATTCTTGGCATTCCTTTTACGCGAGGTGCACTATTAATCACCTGATCATGCTGTTTGCGTGATCAGATCTTGAAGGAGCTCCATAAATCTTGCCAAAAGGAAGATGGTACAGATGACCAGAAGAAGGGCAGCCAGCTTCTTGAGGTCTATGCAGTTGAGATCCAAATGTATACAGAGACAAAGAACAACAAGAAGCTCAAGGTATCCACAAAGTAGCATTCTCCTTTAGTTGGACTCGGTAATATTTATGATGCATGCATACAGTAACTGCTGTACTAGAGCATGCCACAATTTTTTCCATTGCTGTGTTTCCCAACTGCAATGTACTCACAAAACCATGAAAAATTCTTAAATTAACACAACCTCTATAATTGCTTTTACTTCAGTGTCAATGATGCTCTAGAAAGGGATACTTTTCATCAGATCCCTTACGAGTAGACAGACAGTTTTCTGGATGTAGCAAGTTGATGAGTGTAGATAACTTATCCAGTTGGCGCACACTTGACTTATTTGTTTTGTCTGACTCCAATTTCCAGCAATTATACCAAAAAGCACTTGCAATCAAGTCAGCTATTCCACATCCAAGAATTATGGGAATAATTCGCGAGTGCGGTGGGAAGATGCACATGGCAGAGCGTCAGTGGGCTGAAGCGGCAACAGATTTCTTTGAAGCTTTTAAGAACTATGATGAAGCTGGAACTCAAAGACGCATACAATGTCTAAAGTATGTTTTCTTATTCTCCTTAGTGTGTGTTTCCTGGCTAACCGTGTGTGAAGTTAAGTTGAGTTTTGCATTTCACCAAGCATTGCAGTCGAATAGGACTTCTATTAGCAACTAGATATTAATAGTTAATAGTGAAAGGCCGGCTTCTCCACTCTATATATTTGAAAAAACTCTTAAAGTTTGAAGGATATCTAGTAATTAGGATAAACAATCCCTTGCACTTACAGAGATATGTCTATGGAACAAAATGTTATTTTCTTCTGTAAGATCCATCAGCTTTCAATAACTATGAAGTTGGAAGTAAATGGCGTCCATATGTTCTCCAGTTCTCTGTGTCCTCGAATGAAATGTTGCATTTCCTGTATGATCCTGATTGGCAATTCTAAGTCGTGATTGCACAGCTGGTGGCCTGGTGCCATACTAGGTAGGGCTAGGAAGCATTACTTCTTTGATTGTGTAAGGATAGAAGTAGAAGGTGTAAATTGGGAGAGATCTGGCTTGGTATATCAGAGCACAAGTGGAAGGAATTCTACTTGATAGCTCCTGAATGATACAGGGTCCTGGCTTGTGATTATTTTATGCAACACAATGTCGTTGTATTTGCTATCTCTATACCTAACTGGGCCCTGGTTTTTGGAAGAAGGATTTTGTCGTGTTTCTACTTTCTATTGCCATCCATGGACCATGGTAGATCATTTTTGTTCATTTGAAGGCAATTTACGTTGGTAATTGTGCTGTAACTGACAGATACCTGGTCCTTGCCAATATGCTGATGGAGTCTGAAGTTAATCCGTTCGATGGTCAAGAGGCAAAGCCGTAAGTGGATGCAAGAGATGCTTTTAAATATTTTCTTCTGTTTCTCTCTTACTCATTATTCCGTTACTGCTTCCCAGATATAAAAATGATCCAGAGATCCTCGCAATGACCAACCTTGTTGCAGCATACCAGCGGAATGAGATTCTGGAGTTTGAGAAGATCCTTAAGGTAAATCATAAAGATTGTTGTGCAGATTACTGTCCAACCAGCTGGCTGTTTGTTTCTAGTTTCACCCTAAAGTCACTTGATTTATTTGCTTATTTCAGAGCAACAGGAAAACGATAATGGATGATCCCTTCATTAGAAACTACATTGAAGATTTACTGAAGAATGTCAGGACTCAAGTGCTACTCAAGCTGATTAAACCTTATACAAGAATCCGCATACCTTTCATCTCAAAGGTGAAGCGCACAGTTGTCTTCATCCACTTGTGAACTTAGAACTAGAAAGATGGTTCATTTTGAGTCGAGCATTCGTCTAAAGTTGGCTAAAGTGCTTGTTGGAACTGTAGGAACTCAACGTGCCAGAAAAGGACGTGGAACAGCTTTTGGTGTCGCTCATACTTGACAATCGCATCGATGGGCACATTGACCAGGTCAATCGGCTGTTAGAACGTGGCGACAGGTACATACCTCACTGCATGCCTTATTTTTAGTTTGATAATTCACACTGTTCTTACATTATAGCTTGGCAATCCAATGCAGGTCAAAGGGAATGAAGAAGTACACTGCAGTCGAGAAGTGGAACACGCAGCTTCGATCTCTTTATCAGACTGTCAGCAATCGTGTTGCTTGATTCATTGGTGGGAGTTTTTCTGGTGAACACAATCCAAGTTTAGTCTATAGATGTTTGAGGCAAAGCTATATGGTGAGGAAGAAGAAGGCTGGGGGGAAAAAAAAACGTTTTAGTGGTAATTGGATTGAGAAGTTATACTTCCAAATGATAGCGATCAATCCCTTTTTGCAGAAAAAAACCAAGCAGTATAAGGATGTACAAATTTCATTGTGTACTGAACTACTGATGGTTTTGAGTTTAACATTATGAAAACATATCAGGGTCTCCGTCGCGACCTGATCGAAGCTTTGCGGGTTTCTCTGTTTTGTGCAATCAGCCGAGTTTGTTGGTTGTTGTGATGTTTCCCTATGTTTTCAATAACTATCCTTTAGGAGCACAAGACTCCCAGTCTATCTTCAATGACACCAACATCATTGTCACTTGAGGTTGTGTACATTGTTTGGATTCTCTTTCCCATTCAAGAGTTTTGGTGTTCAACTTATCTACATCAACAACACATTTCGTGCTGAGAAGTGAGAAAGGATAAAGTTGAGAGAGGATATAGAATATGCTCGATCGAATGTTTAGAACATACTCGACTGATAGGAATGAAGTATCTCCTATCGAACCATGCTCTCATACGGATTACATCAGGAGCGTTTTGCGTGGATCACCTACTCTAATAACCCGGGTAAAAAAAGATCGTCAATTCTGTGTGCATCACCTAACCCAAAGCCAGAGGTGTTCAGTTGTGGTATATATAAATAAGGTGGTCAAAGAGACTCCAAAGGTACACACAAAAGATCAAATGCTCATCTCTCCATTTGCCTTCCCTCTTCGGATATGACCATAGTTTAGTGCTTGCATTTTGTCAGCAGTCATTTTTCTTTTAGTTCCCCCCACAACGAGCAAACCCATATCATATAATTTTTCTTATTTTCTTCTTCATGGTCGTACTCTCATATGTTTGCTTCGAGCAATAGACCCATATTCGGGGTCTATGAACGGAACAATCATGGGTGTGTTTCAGGGCAACAATCGAAAGATAATTACTATGTGCTGGCTATCCAATGGCCCGGCACCAAGTGCAGAGATCCATATTCGCCACCATGCTACAACCTCTATCTGACCGATTTCACCATTCACGGCCTTTGGCCGGTCAACTACAGCGGGGCTGTCATTCCACAAACAAACACATGCACTATTTGCCTTTGCCCTTCGCTGATGGGGTGTTTTCATCATAGCTTGCTGTTTCTTTTTGTTATTTGTTTAAACTGAGAATAATCTTTACCAATAACACTAAATCCTCTTATTCTGTTTATTTTATTTTATGTTTTATGAGTCACCTACTGCATTGCAATAGGTTCGTTATTGTGTGAAATGTGAATCACCTACTAAAACCTTGAAAAAAAGATCAATGATAATTTCATGTACTAATATGACAAAAAAAAATAATGTTTATGCTCAGAGGTGGTCAAATCATGAAAATTCAAGAGACAAATCAACCTTCTTTCCTAAAATTTTCTTACCGTACTGTTATTGGATGGTTAAAGATACTACAAATTTTAAACCTAAAAATAATATATAGTAGTGCTTGTATGAACTATAGTTAGTTTTATCTACTAATTTCAACATTAATGCAATCTAGTTATCAAAATGGATAGGAGGGTGCAGATTATTAGTGAAAATCATTAAATTTCTATGATAATAATAGTCGGAAGAGAAAATTGATTCCTATCGATGTATTTGCTTGTGCAATTAGGTTTAGTTTACTAATACTTTTTGTCAATAAACGTGTTGATATAAAATTTCTTCAATAAAACATGAGATCGCATCATGGATAATTGTTCAAAGATTATTTTAATGCACCCTTTTAGAGAAAATTCTGACTACGCCACTAAGCATGTACGCTCCATCTTTTGAAGGTTCAATCGTAGCATAAAAGTTTGACGCGCCTACCACATCTCTGAGTTTCAATCTTGAAGCCAACAATCATCTGAAAAATTGGACATTCACACCGTCCAATAATCTTTATTTTCACCTTCTCTGAAATTAGTAAATTACAGCCCATGTTGAAAGAGCAAATGTGATACATGCTTTGCTTATGAATCGTTGATTGTGAACAAATGGTTGGTGACATCATATTAAAAAAAAAAAAAAAAAAAGAAGCTAGGGTCGGCTTAATATCAAATGAAAGGTCGTCAATTAAGGTGGTGATGGTGGCGGCTATATATATTATAATTTATGCATATTATTTTTATTAATGAATGCACGTGGGATACGAGTTAAATTACGTTTTCATTATTCTCGACTAACCTAATTAACATAGACGTAATTTATTAAAAAAAATTATATTCATACACAGTCAATAAACCAAATGAGCCAGTGTATAATTCACGTGGACAAGTGGAGGATATAGTAAATTACTAAATTAGTACAATGTACACAATGCATGCAAGGCGTCGTCGTTGAATCAGCAGCCACATATTATATTGTTGGACTAATAATTACAAGATAATTGATATTTAAATTCGCAATCATTAACTGAAGACTCCAAGCTAATAATTAATTGTATTTTTTTTAGTTGATTAATATTCACATGGATCGTTGCTCCAATCGACAGTACGAAAATTGAACATTGTCAAGGTTACATACCTTCAACAATGATTGCAACAACAGTGGTCTCAACTCTCAACAACTCGATTTGTTGAAAAATGTCCGTGTATGAATTTTATTATTTGAGTGGTTTTCATAGGTGGATTGGGTTTCGTATGGTGGAATATAGCATATACGAAATATGGTCTCCAAATGAGCTACTTACATAGCAAACCATGCATACATAGCCTATGTTTGGCCTGACTTTTATAAGTGCTTTTTGATAGGGATGACAATGGGTCGGGCAGTTCGGGTTTTACCCATACCCATATAAGAAACGAGTAGAAAATTCAAATCGTGCCCATACTCGTTCGGGTTTCGGGTATCCAAGGTTATCCATGGGTAATAATTTCTTTTTATAACTCCAACCAATATGTTAATATTCACACGTATTCTCACGTTATGTAAGACGAAAAGTACGACAATAATTCACTGGAATGAAAAAAATTAATTTAAACAACACAATTTCATAAAAATATTATATTTATATGCTAAATATAAAATATGTTAGTGAAAAATATTAATTATTTCTAGACAAAATACATATGCATGTGTATAATTGGGCGGGTTCGGGTTGGATAGTGAGAAAATCATGCCCAACCATTACCCACAATATTCGGATTCGGGTTTTACCCGTACCCACTAAAAGTCCTTCGGGTTCGGGTTTTACTCTACCCGATTAGGTCGAATTCGGGTGGATATCCACGGTTACGGATATTTTTGCCATCCCTACTTTTTAAGTTCAAAAGCCGAAGCAAGGCCAAACACGTCTAAAAGTTCGGATTTTGAAAAGCCGAAAAGCGCTTTTGTATAACATAAAAGCAGAAGCTCCAATTTGGAGCTTCTGCGAAAAGCTGTTTTGAAAATATAAGATTATCCTTATTTTAATTTTATTTCAGAAAATATAATTTCATTTCATTTTAAAAATAACATAAAATATAAAATCATATTATTTAATATAAAAGAAGTATAATAAGATCCATTTTGACTACATTTTATTGTTCAGAATTATTATTCAGAATTTATATTATAAGTCCTTTATAGTAATTTTACACAACCTCTCATATTAAATAAAACTTTTAATAGTTTTCCAGCCAAATACTCGACAATTTTTTTTTAAAAGTAATTCTCTAATAGCTCAAGGCAGAAGCTGTTTCTGCAAAAACTACAGCAAGGCCAAACTGAGCCATATATGGTGGAACAGTGCCTACGTGAAATATGATACTAAAATTTAAAGTCTGATTATCCTTCGTCGATTAGTAGGCACGATATTATATCGTATCGGTCCTCCTATATAGTTTGTATCCTCATGAAGGATGGTGGAACTAGTCTCCCTTGTCTGTTGATTATCTAACACATATCATATTAGTATACCATGTAAACCTATGTATTTCTTTCTTTATTTTTTTCATGGTTGATTTGTCCTTAATTCGTCGTAACACAATGCAAGCCAGCAGATATATATCATTGTTAGCTATTGTAACTGGCTAATTTCTCAACTCCTTGCTAGCTTAGAATCTCATTAGCTATACCTTGACCTTCAACGATATTAATCAAATGGCAGTTATTGCGGGTACAGTACAGGTAGCTAGAGTCGAGATTTATCAAGAACCAGTTGATTCTAATAACTCGAATTGTTGAAAGAGGTTCAATCGTGTATCATATACCGTTTACTAACATCATATGGTGGAGATGAGGCCACAGAGCACCGGCCACAAAAAACAGAGCCATCATACTCTGTTCTATGTCTATGGCGCTATCTTTGTAAAGTCGTTTGTTCTTTTTACCTTAGAGAGAGACTTTGGATTCGTGAGGACAGGGATGAAGTACTGCTGGAGTAATTACTCGATCTTATTGGTCCCAAAAGGTCCAAATGTATGTGTACACTCTCTCTTCGATCTCTTTGGCATTCAATTGCATGGGGGCTCGTGGAGCCTTGTGCAACCACTCCTCAATGTCAATGGCTCTTGCCCCCCACTTGTTTATTATGTTGTGTTTGTTAGTGAATAGTATGTGATCCACGATAACTCGAGTTGTTGGGAGAGGTTCAATCACGCACCCTCAAACGAAAGCCACTCACAAGGGCTTGAAGTTTGCACAGGTCTGAAGACAAGAATACCATGTGCTTAACAAATGGGGGGTCACCGGGAATCGAACACAAGGTCCCTCGGTCACAGCAGGCTCTGATACCATGTCAATAACTAGTTGCTCCCAATAACTCGTGTTGTTAGGTGAGGTTTAATCGTGAATCATATACTATTCACTAACAGTGTTGAGCTCGATTGATCGAACGAATACGTAAAAAGCGTAGCGCGGCAAAGCGATGTTTGAGGTTCAGCGCGGTCTGACGTAATGATCGAGTACTAAGATATGGTAGATTGACGAGCATGTTCTTGTGTTTTTTTTTTCCCGGTCTCGAATCGAAAGATTTATGGGTTTGGATTTCTTTTTTTTTTTATTCATCATAAAGTTTGTAGTTTGTGTCACTTAATTACGTACCCTGATCTATCCTTATTGGTGAAAACAGAGAGGATAATCGGTGAAAATTCATTGGATCTTAATAATTATAGCACAAGCTCCGTTTGAGCCTCAGATCTATTTGATTGCAAGTTGAAGAAGATTAGAAGAATATTTGAGAGGAGGGTTAAAGATCTTAAAGTTAAAGGTTTGGAAGAAGGATGCGAAAGGAATATTCCTTTTGGGATTAGCTAGCTTTCCCTTTCGTCCCCAAAACATCATCATAATTAGCCACATTCCCAACTCCACCTTGACCACATGAAAGAGTAGAAATCTTTCACCTTGCTATATTGGCTGGCTGGTAATTCTCCTGTCAACTTTCGTCGCCATGTCAAAGAGTGCGACTTGCCGTCTCCAAAATCTTCATATTGGATCTGCAATTCTATATATACAATAAATAATACCCATTTTTAGTAACCAAAAACCAACTAATTTGGAGCCCAACATTTAACATCTTCTGGTATATGCGTCTTCTTCGGTTCTTCTCCACATATGGCATCCTATGAAATATGTTAGTTAGGGATAGGGCTGATGAATGGTTAGGCGGTTATCGGTTTAAATTGATAATGGTGGTTAGTACGTGGTCAATCGATAACCGAGAATTCATCAGTGGTTTAGTTATCGGTTAGTTGATTTTGCTAAGTGATTAACCACTAATCGATTAGTTGGTTGCTAGTATAATTCACCACTTCAATTTGGGTTCTGACTAATGTGAAAAGTTCTAAGAATCAAAACCAACCAAAGTTGCGATTTCAAACATCCCCGTTCTCACCTATCGCAAACAACCCTCCACCCAAAGTTTCAAATCTCTCATAGAGTCAGAACAGGAAAGCCACCCCTCTCCTCTCTGGCTCTCCTTTTGGTTATTGGTTAACCACTAATCGGCAAATTGAATAGTGATTAATCGAACCAAACCGACTAGCACCCCTAGTTAGAGATCCTTTGATCCATTATATATAGGCGAAGGTAGTAATTATGACGCATACCAAATCAATCCGAATTGAGCAAATATTTGGAACTAGAATATGATCATGAGACCAATACATAGTTTCATTTCGTTCCGCGTCTCAAAGTTATGATTCCTTTTTCTTTGTATAGATCGATCTTATTGAATATGATAGAACCAAATAAAACTAGTATAATTTTGATCGGATTGTGGTCCTCACATTTCCTACCTTTTAAATTTTATCTCTAACTTGACAAGATGGACACCCATGTTATTTGTGGTCCTGCTTATTTTCACATATTTGTCATTCATGTTTCATAAACTAAGTTCAATCATATCATACTTTGTGGCTTGTCACTTAGATGAGCAATACCTAGTCATTGGGTATGCTAGGAAGCCTGCTAGGCTGCTACTAATTTCATATATATACCAAGAAAGACACACTCATCATACGAAGATGACCAAATATTTATAGGCCATTCTAACAATCATTTTGTCTATGTAATATCAATGTCATTTTATCATTAGAGACTACTCGAGATCATGTAACTAGATCGAGCATTGCAAATCTAAAAATACTGATTGGACAAGGGGAACTTGTTTCCATTGTTGAACAGATCTATGTCTGTAAAGGATTAAGATTAGTTCTCGTCGAAGATATACAAAATCCTTTTATCTTATCGAGATTCTAAATTGACCAAGAATTTCTTGTCTAGGAACACCCTTACCAACATTATCACTTAGTGAAATGTTAACCATGGCGTTGTGATTTCAATCCACATCTATCTTTTTTATGCACTTATATTTGTTATTGTGGAATGTCAATCTCTCGTGGTGGCCTATGAAGAACAACAACTTGATGAGCTCTTGCTTCCACGTGATTCACCATGTTCATTAGTTGCAAGCAAACCGTCAGCCAGTCGCATTGTACAAGGAGAAAACAATCATTAAAATGCAACTATAATACGAAAAACCGTACCAACAACAATGAATACGAGAGAAAAGGTAGAGATGGAAATGTCGAAGCAGAGTGCAGGCCGTAGACGTTTGTCTGCTTGCTTGCTGTTTGTTGCCTACTCTGCTGTAAATGAAAAAAGAAAAACAAAACAAAATATCAAAAGGAAAAAAAAGGAATGAAATTTTTTCTGTTGTTCACTTGATCCTCTAAAACAGATTTATATATACCATCATCACCTTCAATTTCACCACTACCCACCATTTCTTCCTCTTCTTCTTCTTCTTCAGCTGCTTCCTTCCTTTCTTTCTTCACCTACTGTACGAATCTCTGCCTTTTCAGCCCATCCAGAGGCCAAACTTCTTTTCCCCACTCTGTTTCTCTGCCCCGCCAAACTCATTACAAGCAACTCAGCAGCACTTCCTTTTTGCCCTCGCTGTTCTTATCTGTACGCCCTCTCTATCTCCTTCAATCAACAACCGGGCCTGACCCCGCCTTTTTCCTGTCCAAAGTAATCATCTTTATCTCTAATCATGGCTTCTTCTTCTTCCCCATGTTCATATCTCTAGAGGGTCTGTCCCAATTTCTCAATAATATAATAACAATTCAGGATTCTGATAAAGGGTTATTAATCAAATGGGCCGTTTATGTTTCCATGTGATGCATACGTGTACAATGGAAGTTGTTCAATTTCGATTTGTTTTCTAACTCTTTTCCTGCTGACCCTTAATTCAGTCCTCCCCCCTTCTTCTGCTACTGTTGCTTTCAACTTTGTTCACCTTAATTCTTCTAGAGGGTTCGTCTAGTTTTCCCCCATTTTTGCAAGTTTCACTAGTTTCTTTCCAACTTGGTGGTTGGTTTTGCCATCTGGGTTCTCTGGTCTTATATGTATAGGTTCTGGGTTTGCCATATTCAATTATGGGTTCTTTGAGTTCTGGGGTTAATAAAGAGGTGCTCTTTTTGGATTCCTAGCGAAGGAAGTAATTTGGAGAAGAAAGGGTAGGTATGTTTTAGAAAGTAGCTCCACTTTGGCACTATCCGTAATCCCGTCGTGATTTGCAACTATTTTATGACCACCTTTATGGTGGTTGATTGAAGATGCTGTTGAGTGGAAGAAAAAGAGGATATAAAGCAAATAGAGAGTAGCATCTGGTTCACTACAGTCTGTCTCTCTCTCTTGGCTTGAAAAGCTTCTGAATTCCACTGTTGTAGGAGGTGGGCTCATTGGATTTGATCTCCAGCTATTGGATTTAAGGTTTATGAAGCTACTAAATCAGTAGTGCTTTTTCGTTGTTGCCTTTCCTTTTCTCTTTCAGTTTGGATTGTTCCACTTGGCCTTTTATTTTCTTCATTTTCCCAAGTTTGTCCTCAGCAGGTTCATATTTGATTCTTGGCTGGCCCTGAATGTTATGAATTGCATCTCTCTGATCTGTTCCTCTTTGGTGGCAATATTTGGTGAAGCCAGAAATGTGGATTCTGAATAGGCTAGTCATGTAGGACAAGCTTACACAGTGTTGCTTACATTCTGGTCGCCCACTTTCTGTGTGTTTTCCCTGATTGATGTATCTGTTGTCAATGGTTCTTCTTCTAGCATAGTAATGTGTGAGTCATAATGAAGTGTCGCCTGGTGGGAACCTGCCTTATTTGCACAGTGGAAAGGACCTTTGAGTCAGCTCTCTTTTGACTTTGGTTTATTTTGTGTGCTTATAAATCCATCATGGCTATGTTGTTCTAAGCTCATGAGGGTTTCAATCTGTTCCTTCACCACTGCTTGTTTCTTCTTTCTTCTTCTGAGCTATAGATGGAAGCTATTAAGCTTTACACTTCTGCTCCAAAAGATAGCAGGACCTGGAAATTGAATCTATTTGATGCGTTCACGTTACAAATATTTAGCTGAAGTTGCCTTTCTGCCACTTACACTTTGACATACATTTCAGGAGTTTTGAGAAGTTTCGTACTTCGGGCTTTAGGGAGCTTAATAGGTCATCCATAATGAATCAACCTAAAGTGAAGCGTAGAGTGGGCAAGTATGAGGTGGGAAGAACTATTGGTGAAGGAACATTTGCAAAGGTGAAGTTTGCAAGGAATTCAGAGACAGGGGAACCTGTGGCTCTGAAAATACTTGATAAGGAGAAGGTTCTCAAGCACAAGATGGCTGAACAGGTCTGGTGGTCATGTTTCAGTAGCGCTTTTTCTACTGTCAGTGCTTTTAGTTAGAGTCGATTGTCTTCAGCTTTCCAATTGTTTGGATGTTCTCATGATAAGAATATAAACCACAGCATGACAAATGTTTAACCATCCATGAACACATACGCTCACTGTGTGTGTGTGATCAATGGATTTTGTGTCCTTATAGTGTGTTTTTTTGAGTCAGATCATTTACTCTTCTGCTCATGTTTTTGCAGATCAAGCGGGAGGTAGCCACAATGAAGCTCATACAGCATCCACATGTGGTTACATTGTACGAGGTTTGGCACTTGTATCCTTCTCTTTCTTCTGCTATATCTCTTCTGGATTAGTATGCTGACCTGATAAATGCAAATTGGATTTGGCTTGCATCGTATAATGCTAAACATATGAAACATTTTCCAGTTTGCAAGTAGAACCATAGTCATGTGCAAAGGGCTATTGTTGTAGAGAAAAGGAGAGACAAAACACTGTGATGGAAAGGGTCATGCAAGCTCCGTTCGTCTCTGTAATTTTGATTTGGTTCCAGTTTGTGATGTAAGATTCCCTATGCAATGGTTTTTCCAGGTGATGGGAAGCAAGACCAAGATATTCATTGTTATGGAGTTCGTGACCGGAGGAGAGCTTTTTGACAAAATTGTAAGTCCGTTTTCTGGCAACACTTAAACAATTATCAAATCCTCACATTCATCTTCGTTTGAAATCATATATAAGATCTAGGGCACTGAATTTCATGTTGTTACACTTCATTGTTATGCAGGTGAATCATGGACGAATGAGGGAAGATGAAGCCAGGAGATACTTCCAGCAACTTATCAATGCAGTTGATTATTGTCATAGCAGGGGTGTCTTCCACAGAGATCTTAAGGTGCTTTTGTGTTTCCTTCTCTCTCTTTTTAATTTTAGTTCTCACCCACAATCTTTTGTTTATCAACTTTATCTGCAAGCTCACTCCTTTCAAAATGTTTGTGCTGGAACAGCCTGAAAACCTGCTATTAGATGCCTACGGGAACCTCAAGGTTTCAGATTTTGGTTTAAGTGCACTATCACAGCAAGTCAGGGTAATTACAAGATCCCATGTTTTGATTGGCTTATTTATGTGTAGCAGACGAGTAGTCTTGAACTATACTTTCGTTCTTGTTCATCTATCTCTACATCTGATATAAAACCCGTCTGACAGGACGATGGCTTGCTTCATACAACTTGTGGGACACCAAATTATGTAGCTCCTGAGGTGTGAATGACTTGTCTTTGTGCATATGTTCTTTACAGCTTTATTTTACTCCTTTGACAAGTTTTTGTTATTTTCCATTTAACTGTAGTGTTTGCATTAATGTTCAGGTTCTTAATGATAGAGGATACGATGGAGCTACTGCAGATTTGTGGTCTTGTGGCGTGATACTCTTTGTATTGCTAGCAGGGTACTTGCCTTTTGACGACTCTAATCTCATGAACCTGTATAAAAAAGTAAGTTTCTGTATTTTGAACTAATTTCAAGGAGCTATATACTTCCATTTCATTTCCATGTGCTCTGGTTTTCACTTCGGCTGTTCTTTGCCAACAGATTTCAGCTGCAGAGTTTACTTGCCCTCCTTGGCTCTCTTTACCTGCCATGAAATTGATTTCTAAAATTTTGGATCCAAACCCACTTTCTGTAAGTACTTCCATGTGACACTTTGTACTTCAGCTTATGATCATGTTGGTGATTCCTTTAACTTACTTTATTGCTGTATCTTCTCTTGGTGTCAGCGGATAACAATACCCGAGATTTTGGAGGATGAATGGTTTAGGAAAAATTATCAACCGCCCGTGTTTGAGGAGAAAGAGCAGCAACCCAGCTTGGATGATGTTGAAGCTGTATTTAAGGACTCTGAAGTAAGCTGCTAAATAAAGAACATACAACCGTTGGACTGGTGTTGTTAATATTTGTATTTCCTAACTAGCTCAAGAAAGTTGAAACAGGAACACCATGTGACTGAGAAGAAGGAGGAACAGCCGACTTTTATGAATGCATTCGACTTGATTTCCATGTCCAAAGGGCTGAATCTTGAGAATTTGTTAGATGCCCAACAGGTATCCATTATTCCCTTAGCTAGAAGTTATTATTTCCGAGTCAAAGCCTCTTAATGAAAGTTGGACTCAATTTCTGAGCTAAGGGTAGAGAGCCGAACCATTACTGGTCTTATGGCTTGGTGCTACTTCATTAATATTAGATACTGGAAGGATTTGGCCCAATAAGGAGATTGTGGTCTCATATTGAATATGTTACTGGATCAGCAAATGGAAGTAGAAAAGTGGAAACCTGCATCTTGAGTAGCTTAATCTGCCATTTGGTCTTCTGATATACTATTGTTTCATTGCAGCCGATGTTCAAAAGGGAAACAAGGTTCACGTCCAGGGGCTCAGCGAATGAGATAATCCACAAGATTGAAGAAGCAGCGAAGCCTCTCGGTTTTGATGTCCAGAAGAAAAACTACAAGGTAAATCACACATTTCATATATGCTAGGGACTAGAAAGTAGCTGATAAAGTACAATGATTGATGCTTAAGTTTCTTACCATCACTTTTTGTTCTCAGATGAGGCTTGAGAATGTGAAAGCAGGCCGGAAAGGAAATCTTAACATCGCGACCGAGGTATGTCACTTACCCAGAAAAGAAAAACGAATAGCTATCTCCAAAGGACCAACTTGTAGGAACTTGTGATTGAGCTAAGCTGTTACCATTTTTTTCATCAGATATTCCAAGTATCACCTTCTCTCCACATGGTGGAAGTGCGGAAAGCCAAAGGCGACACTTTGGAGTTCCATAAGGTAAAATCATCGTCGTCAGCTTGGCTCTGCCTGCTGTAACACCACAACAGCCATATCTCAATGCAAAGGCATTGCAATGTATTGATCACTCTTCTCTTTTCTGCTGTGGTTTTCCTTTATTCATTTTGCAGTTCTACAAGAACCTCTCGACATCCCTCGATGATGTGGTGTGGAAGACCGAGGAATGAGAAGGACGTGCGAGAAGCGAACTGAAGCGTATCGAGAGAGCTGTATAATCAGTGCTTTTGCCCTTGTCTCCTAGCCTGCCTTTGTACCAAGAGCTATGCTGTATCATCGGTTCTATATCTTCATTCTTTCTTTTTTTTTTTGGCCTCCTTCCCTCTTATTTGTTCTTGTTCTTTTTGGGGGTTTTTTTTTTTTGTAGAATTAGCTTTAGCCAATTTGAGAAGGCTTAGGAACAGCTATGTTTCTCTTCCTGGGTCTGGCAACATCAGTGATTTAACACAGATGTTGCTTAGCCAACGTTGTATATGGGTAATGTTTCTCGAGTGTTGTAAGTTCTGACAATCACCAAGTGCAATTTGATTCTGCTCAAGAAAGAGATGGTGAAAAAATTTGCTAGGAATTCAAAACATTTATCAAGTCATTTGATTGTGTTGTCATGGATTGAAAGAATACATATCCATATGTCTTATTATTCGTGACAGGAGACTCTATTATCGGAAAAGAGTTTGCGACGGTTCGATGTCGTCTAGACTAGTCCGAATTGGTATATAGAGCTGGATAATCGAAAAAAGAGATTGATGACTAAGACAGAATTATACGAGTATTTAGTTTGACTTGGCATGATACAAATTTCGAGTTTGGTCTAATTCGATGTCAATTTAGTTTGGTGATTGTGTGGAATGTATGAGAGTCGATGTAAATCGACCCTCTGAGATTCACAAATCCAACCTGAACTTTGGATGATTTCATTTGTTGGCGGACTGATTACGAGCTGACCAGAACCAGTTTCGGTTTGATTAAAATCGGCTTTCCCGCAAAATAACGGATGCAGAGAAAATCCAACCAGTGTTTGTGGTCCGTCCGGTCCGGGTATCGGGACTAAACGAGCACGACTTCTCTTGTTTTTACACATTTTTTTTTCCCTGGTTTAAATAGCACAGAACTTCCAATGGAAACTGTACTTTCAGTTCTTCCCCCAACACACTGAGAGCAGAACCCAGAAACCCGAAGCAGCAGAAGACGGAGAAGAGGAGCATGGATCGGCTCGCCAATGCCTTTGCGATTCTGGAGCTCGATGTTGACGGCGACCAACCGAAGGACGGTGCCGCTGCCTCCGGTGCTTCTTCGTCTTCGTCCGCTTCCATGCCCCAATCCACCAAGAACCCAGGCATCTTCCCCCCACTTCTTCTTCGTCCCCTTTCTGCTCGCGCGGCCTTAAGAGTTTATAGGGTTCTTACTTACTTTCTGTTCTTATCTTTTGTTTTGCAGGAAATGGCAAGAAGAAGAAGGTAGAGGGTGAGAATAAGCAAGAAAGGGTAACTCCTTCTGGAGAGTACAGAATGCCCCTTGTCTGGATTGATTTGGAGATGACTGGTACAGTTTCACTTCCTTCTACTTTGCGTTGCTTACTGCGAGTTATCTTGAACGAGTAGTCTTGTTCTGTGACATTGTTCCATGGTGACTGGAGGATGTATGTTGATTAGGCAGTGAAATGTAAACAGAGGGAAGTAGGGATTTTTATTGGTTTTTTTTTGCCGTGATGCAGGTCTGGATGTTGAAGTTGATAGAATAATTGAGATTGCTTGTATAATTACCGATGGAAAGATGATGAAATTGATAGAGGTAGCCATACTTAACTCACATGCTTGCGATTTCGTTCTTCCTGGGATTATTAGTATTGTGTATATTGTTCTTCTGGTAACTCAATGGTGTTTTTTTTCCTGAGATAGGGTCCTGAGTTAGTTATCCATCAGAGTAAAGAGTGTCTGGATCGGATGGGAGAATGGTGTCAGACTCATCATGGTGATAGTGGTAAGATAGCTAATGACTTGAGGCTTATCTCGATTCTCAAGTAATGAGGTATTAGTTTTCTTTTGTCTTTGTTGATGAGTTAAATATGTGATTTTAGGTTTGACAGAGAGAGTGATCCATAGTACGATTACTGAAAGAGAAGCTGAATTGCAGGTATACCTTCTTGAGTTGGTTTCTGCCCTTTTGTTATATCATTGTGGGTAATCGAGGAGTTGAGTTCCTCTGACCTTCTTCCCGTCCCACAGTCGAACTTGTTTCTTCTTCTTCTTCTTTAGGGTTGATGTTTTGGTTTGATGGCTGAATTGTGCAGGTTCTAGAATTCGTTAAGAAACATGTTGGTACATATACGCCACAGATAGCAGGAAACTCTGTCTATATGGATTTGATATTTCTAAGGGTATGTGTTGTCATTTTATGTTTCCTTCAATTGTCTTGCTCTAATATTCCCTCTTGAATATTGGTTCCTCAAGGGCCACTGTGTGCAGTTTGTGAACATGTATGATCTTTTATTCAGTCTTCACTTTCTGTTGTTCATACGTGTTGGGACTTGTGAGACAAGTGTAGTTGATTTCAGGTTTCATTTAGCTGTTTCTAGTTGCTATCGATTTGGTCATACATGGGGGCTTGGCGACTGCACTTGTCTCTTTCTAAGTTGTATATGTTTCTGTTCTTATCTTTATCTTGAAATCATAGCTGCTTTCGTCATACTGCTACTGGTTGCTGAACAAAGTATGCTACTTCATATGTTTATAGCGCAAACAATTATAGTTCTCAACTGATAATTTGACTTGAACCATCTCATGTACCTTATCTCCTAATTTTATCCACTTTTTGTGCTTTTCAGAAGTATATGCCAGAATTGGCTGGCCTCTTCACTCATGTTATTGTTGATGTTAGCAGTGTAAGGTCTTTGTGCTATCGGTGGTATCCAAGAGGTATCATCATCGTGCTTTCTTCCTTTATGTCTAATGCTAAAGTAAACGCAAACTAGCCATTACTTACAGTTTAACGAAATAGAAATAGCAATGGTCACTATGAAGCCCGACTGCTTCACTCCTCAACTCAGTCTCATTTGCTTGTACAGACCATGAGAAAGCCCCTGCCAAGGGGAAGAAACACAGAGCACTAGACGATATCAGAGAAAGCATCGATGAGCTCAAGTACTACAAGCAGGCCATCTTCAAAGGGAAGTCCAAGTGATGTAGTAGGATAATGACAGTGGTGTGAGTTATTCATAGAATCTCATCCTCCGTTTGGCTGATCAATTGTGAAGAAAGAGCTTGTACATACAAGTCATGTGCAGCTTTGTTCGAAGCGGGTTCTCAATTCTCGACTAATGCATAGTACAAACTGCAGCTGTAATTTGAAACTGGTTAACGTTGGTTTAGAATTTGAACATGTATTCCTTGCTTCCTTTTTAGCTGTTGTACAATTAAGTGACCCAAATTTTGGGGAAACCACATATTTATCATATCACTGGTGCACAGTGCAGTAAATTGGAAAATGGCTGGGGAAGTTTCATGGTAGAGTAGTCCGTTTATAAGTGGTGAGTTTCATGCTTTTTTATTTCTATGATTTATTTATCTTTTTGCTTCTGATGCGAGTAAGGGCGGGCATAATAAGAATGAATAACGACTAGAGTCAAGTCAAGAGAATGTTTGGTTCGAGTTTGTGTTGGATTTTCCGATTTTGATTCAATTGGATCTCATCTACCTTTCTCTTAATTGAAATAGAAAATCCATGAAATCGAGAGTTGTTTGAAACTGGTCATGAAAATATTGTGCTGCTTGCACTTTGAACATAACTTGTGTATTAAAAAAACTTGTGTGTCAGCCATTAATAACTTGTGTGTCATGGGCCTATAAGAGTTAAACATTGTGATGCTCGCTTAAACCCAAAGTAAATGTTTTGCACGTTTCTTTCATCGGCTAATGTTTGGCTCGTGGCTCGGTGGAACCAATTGGCTCAGTCGGTGTTGAGTGAGCTCGGGTGAATTGGTTGGGATTCACGTAACACACAAATTCGATTGATTTTCAAAATACTTAGTAGGGTTTTTTGTTCTCACAACCTCAACAATGAAGTTGATTTGGATATGATAACGATGCTCGTTATGAATAGTTTTGGTTCAATAGTTTTCATGAAAAAATACGAGGTATTGGAGGAAATTAAAATAGTTTCATAAAATGTCCTGAAAGAATTAGTCTCGACTTAATTGGTCTTCACGTTCTACGCGTTTAGGGTTATGGTTTTGTTTGAAGCTGTCTTTTTGTGTTGCTTCTTTGTACTTGTGCTTTTATTTTGAACTTTTTCTTAGTTATATTTAATAAAATGACGACATCCATATATATAAAAAAATTGGTTCGTACTTGTGCTTTTATTCTGAACTTTTTCTTAGTTATATTTAATAAAATGACGACATCCTTATATATAAAAAAATTGGTTTAGACTAGATTGGTTGGGGACGTCTAGTTAGAAGGTAAACCAACTCAACATTAGGGATGATAAAAGTATCCATACTCGTGGTTATCTGTCCGAATATGATCCAATAAGGTATGGTAAAATCTGAACCCGAAGGATTTTTGCCGGATATGAATAAAACCTGATCCGATTTTTTTTTATGGTTCGAGTATGAATATCGAGGGTAATGGGAAGGTATGGTTTTTTTACTATCCAACCCGAACCGACTCTATTATACATATGTGTATGTATTTTATCTAGAAATAGTTTTTATTTTTCTTATCATATTTGATATTTTCTATACATATATAAAATTTCATGAAATTATGTTCTCTTTAACTAATTTTCTTCGATTTATTGTTTTATTTTCACTTATGTAATGTCAATATATTTAACATGTTTGTTGAAGTCATGAAGTCCAAATGAGTATGAGCATGGTTTTAATTTTTTATGTGATTCTTATGTGGGTATGGGTATGGATAAAACCCGAACTACTTTGGATAGAGTAATGAATATGCACTATCCGCCCCTCGACCCGATCCGTGACCATTCCTATGGTTGAGGTCCAAGCAATTGTCACGTCTTTGCATAGAAATTAGGTCGATCAGGGTGATTTTCGTCTCAGATTTGATAAAAGATGCACTGATCATGGCTCATGAAAATATTATGCTGCTATTTGAACAGAACATGGGTGTCTTGGGCAGATATAAACTTTAGGGGTGTGCAAAAGAGGTTGGTCCGTGCCGGATCGCACCACACCAAACCGATATTTGGACCTAATCATACTGAACCGAATATAATGTGTATCGGTCCTTGGTCTCATGAATTTTATAAATACTAAAAAAAATGGACCGAAGTGAAATTTGAATCGGATCAAACCGAACCAAATAGATCAAATACAATGTTAGTCCGGCCTTTTGCCTTAGAAGTCTTTCAATATTGGACCATGCTTCTCAAGAATTTAATCCGATTCTAACCGGACCGGACCGTTGCACACCCTAATAAGCTCGATATTGTGATGCTTGCTTGAACCCTAGCCACCAGCAAGAAATTGTTGGGTTGGAAAAATTGAAGGATAATATGACATGAGTAAGATATTTCCTCTGTATTTCCTTGTCAACTTATTTCAATACTACCTACTGCCTTGCTGCGACTCCTGCTGCACAACTGGAAGAAAATCTGCAGCCTCCTTATCACCAGCAGCCGCCACCATGGCGTCCTCTCCAATCCACATGCTCGCATGAACCAACACCAACGGCGTGGTGGCTGCCAAGGTGACGAGAAGATGCAAAGCAGCGCCGTTGAAGATAATCCCCACCATCGTGGCGATCACCAGCAGGCTCAGCACCAGACGCTTGTCTATAAACTTGTGCAGGAAAATTGAACCTGGGAATGTTCGCAAGACGAGCAGATACAGTGATGCGACGTAAGTCATGATCACCATGTATATCAGAGCCACCTTCCTCTCTGGAATAAGGGTGATGAAGAGCACGATCCACACAAAGTGCGTGTAGTGGAGGATGTATTGAGTCAGGCTTCTGGCGATTCGCAGGGCTGCTGCTTCTGTGGAGGAAGGGATGCTGAAGGGGGAAGCAAGATGGTATTTTGGAGTTCGGGAACCGTCATCAGGAGAGGCAGCGAGGTGTGAGTCATCAGCTGGTGGAGTGTTGGTGCTTGCCCTCTGCTGGATCGTTCCATAACCTGCAACAGCCATATCAGAGAAGTGGATGACCTAGTGGAATATGGTTTAAGAATGTTAAATGTCATTTATAATGGAGCTTCTGCAGAAGAAGCAAACAATGACTTTGAAATGTCATGGCTCTGATAGAGGAAGACTCACTGTGAAGTAAGAACACAACACTACCAATTCGTCTACGGCATTGACCAATGAAAATGAGATGAAAAGTTTGAACCTGTATTCAGTACAGCTTATTTCCTACTCTATATTCTTCACACTCAGTCAACCTATACTCGAGTAATCCACAAAAAAGTCTTTCCACTTTCCATTCCTAACAGTGAGTGGGAAAAGTAAGCATGTAAATTTCAAACCATTGACACAATGTCAATCAAGTCCATAGATTATCCACACGGATTGTTCAAAATAATATGGAAGGAGCAAATGCAAAGAAGGGGATGTGCACAATATACAAAACTGATAAACAACCATGTTACAGCCAGGAACCACAGGTACAAACTAAACTCATCAGATCACCAGATTCTTAGAAAATGGCATCAAGCGAAACAATACGCCCAATCAAAGTGCCGAAACGAACAACAAGACTATTGTGCGGGTTGCGGTTACTCTGACGTCTCATGGACTGCAAACGAGTTTGTGGGGATGTCATTCTTCCCGTGTCAACACAGTCACACAACCTGGCATAAGTGAGGATCAAGGAGTTTCTAGAAGTCGATATACAGTGATCTCTTGCTGCTTGAAATACCGTCGACCTTCTTCGTCAACTAGAACGAGATTCAAGTAATACTTGACACTGAACTTGTTGTTGATGTTTCGGTATGTTGGTGTCAACTCATATGGACTTAGGAATAGTCTGATCGGAATTGATTCTCCTGTTTCAGGATAAAAAATTGCATCAGGAAAAGTCATCAACAGGGCACACAGGAACTTAAGATGATCATCAAGGGAAAAAGCTCTTCAAATTTGGCTGTGACTAATTATTTTCATTGATGTACCTCTCACAGGGGAACCATCCATCAACTCATATTTGGCAAGTGTCTCTGTTTCGACGTACGTGTTGGGTCCTGATCCTGTGGACTCACGACGCCGTATTTCAAGCTCCATATTCTTAATCTTAATTCTCACTAGAAGGAAGTAGATTTTCCCAATGATTACATCCTTTAAATGGTATCTGTGAAAATTTCAGTCAACCAAGTCAGAAGTGTTCTCAGGACAATTTTTTATTTATTTATTTATATTTTTTTTTTGCTAATGGTGATATAGTATTATTAAAGTTATCAAACAAGGAAGGAAGTACAGGGCAACAAGAAAAGAAAACAGTCTGTGCCTGAGAAAGGGAGGCAAGGGAGCCAAAGAAACAGCTCCCAAACGAGGCAAAGTCACACCTCAACAACAAGAACAAAACAACAACCGAACCAGAGGAGCAGACGCGGAAAGAGTGTTCTCAGGACAAAATTTAACCAAATGAAGTTGTAAACCTCTAAAATGAGTCATGATACATACTTGCTTTTGCTGTATTCAAATTCTATGTGAAGGCAATCCTCGATTCCAACTTCCATCTACAAGGACCACCAACATGCAAATTAAGATCCTATCCAAGACTCTTCATATAAAAAAAAGATCCTATACAAGCCTGATATGATAAACAGTTATCTACAGGACAAACCATTTGATGACATTGAAAGACATTTAAGAGAAAGACAACTTTCTGAAAAAATTATAGCGAAAATGGTTCAAGGTGTTGTCATTTAAACTAGAATCACCTATGGAAGAATGCTATTTTTGTGCTACCAAGTATCCAACATGTTCCAACTGTTCATAAGGATTTGGCCCTCAACTTTGCAGACAATAAGCAAGCACCAAAATAGACTTGACTGATAACTTTGCTGACCTTGATGCTGTTGTTGACTGGTGGTTGTGGAGTGTAATTCCTCACCTAATGCAGAAATATGACAGAAAGTGATCATCATCAAGCTGTTTATGGTTAACTTCTAGCTACTGCATATTTTAACAGACTTCTCACTGGAACCAGTTGCGGTATTTTTTATGAATTTTATAAAAAACTTCTAACGCTGTATTAGATGGAAGGGGCCTCAATTACCGATCAAGTTGTTTCAAACTTTCAATGTACTTCTTACTGATGTATAACGACTTACCACGAAATCCTGGTATTCAACAATGTTGTTGACATAGTTCCGACTGATAGTCACCTTCAATATATACCTGAAGATTCATCGGAATTCTGAGTTGTAGTTCCATGAGTTTTGGAAATTCTGTTCCTGTTTTAATATGGAAGTCATAGCAGACTGAAAGAAACTACAAAGATAGACCGAAAGTAGGTCTGGTTGACAGTTCAACTACATGAAAAATCTTATTTGTGAGAACCATCAATTTAACTTTAACAAGCTAACCGAGTTGGTTTTAGGAGACAAAAGGAGAGGGGATTGGTGGCTAGGCAACCTTGTTTGACAGTTAAAAACAGTTTTCCCCAATAAACTTGTCACCAAAGAATGCTATAATCAGCACAAGCCAGTGTGTAAATTAAATTAGGATCAGTTAAGGATTCACACTAGAATATAAAAGATCAGATGGAAAAACCAGTTTAATTCACAGTTCACACTGATACGTACCTAAGCCTCACATTGACTCCACTGTAAGACTCATGCGGCATCTCCACAGTTGAAAACTCAAAGGGATATGATTTCTTTTCATACAAATCGCCAGGGACATCAAGTTCACGCACTACATTAGAACAAAAAGAGTTGGCTCAGTATGGAGCTAAAACTTGAATCATTCATAATGCTAACAACATATCACGACGAGAAAGCATTTATAAGTCTTGTTACATTGCTATGGTGGCAACTAATGAGTAATGAAGAGAAAGTAAAGACATAAATCAGTTCACATTTTTCCGCCACCTATTTGTATGGTGCATAAACCTTGAATTTGCTCTGGATCGCATACCAAGATATGCATGAGAACCAATACTCACCAAGGGAAGTAAAGTCGTAGAATTTTCCACGATCAAGATATAGTTCTGCAGATAACCAAACAAAGATGTTAACAGTAAATATCTGAGTTGTTTGCTCGTCACATAACGAGTCTTCGCCATTCGTATAATCACATTTCATGTGTTAAACATTATGTAACTTGAGGCTCAGGTAATGAAACCTGAAGTCCGATGACTAAGAATAACATGGATACGTGATTGGGGAAATAAATAGAGAAGGAGCAGAAATGAAATGAAGAAGATGAACAAAGTTTGAGCTGTCTCAAATAACTTTAGGCAAATTTCAGGATTTCTATGCCAAAATTAACCTAATGAATCAAATCTCAGGGGTAAGAACTGTTGTACCTATCTGGCCAAGCAACTCAATTTTTATTCCATTATGTTCAACCTTCTTCCCTTGCGCAGGTTCTACAACAACCTGGAAACCCCGAATAACAATAGTCAACAGGAGAGTTTAAATCCCCACAACAACCTTCTAGCCGAATTCGTTAGCAGCATATGGAAAAGGTAGGAAACATGAAGAGATTATAATAACCTCTCCAGCAATGATATCTTGACTCTGGTACAGAGGAACCATGACTGTCTGGCCATTTTCCTTCTTCAATGCAACCTAACAAAAGTTTAAAGTATCAGCAATGATAAGCCAAATGGTTAACTCAACTAGTCAAGAATATTCCAGAGGACACAGATTCAGAGCTGGAACCTAGACTGTGTTCCAAAATTCTGTCTTCTCAGAACAAGAGAAGTAAAGGTGGATGACGTGACACAAAATCTCCCCCAATTTCATTGGAAAATCTACTCCCTTGACAAGGATTTTCACGATAATGGTCCAAGTTACTAAAAAAAACCAATTCAATACATTAGAGCACCTGAAAGATACCTGCTTTCGAGTTCTTCTATCAGCAAAAACGATCGAAATGTTGCAGGGTGGCTTGAAAGCTCCAATGAGGAAATTCTGGAACAACAGACACCCAGCAACCATTTCAACAAGAGCATATATAACGAACAAATCCAGGAAGGACACAAAATCGAACAGATTCCAACGGTCAATACCATGATCGCCTGCTCAACAATTCAGCAATGCTGGGACCGGGATCAAGCATGAAGAAGCTACCAAGTAAGAGAGTAACAGAGCAGAAACCCAATCAATCGGCTTTCCAACGGAGAGAGCTGACCACGAATCCGTAACTGACAAGGAAACCACAAATTAGCCGAACCAAATTAGAACTGTCCTTCAACTACCAGTCTGATAGAACTGGGAGCAGAGACAAGGGAATTCAATTGGACCCGCGAATCACCTTGGAGAGTGCTTAGCCGAACTGGGTTGGCGTTGAAATCTGGAGTTAGTCGCTGGAAGATGGCTGGTAGATCAGCGGAGGCATTCTTCGTCCCTTTGACGTCGTTATTCCCCTCCACCACCACCACCTTCCCCCGCCGGCGCTCGTCACCACCGTGGAAGGCAAAAAAGTTAACAATCGGAAAGCCTGAAGCCTTTTTTTCCCTTTTTTGCGGCCTGCTATTTGGGCCGTTGCATGAGCTTTCATTTTGGGCCGTACTGTGAGCCCAACGGAAACCGCCACAAAGAAAAGATAAGTAGAATAAAGATTGATGACTAAAGCAAAATAAAGTAAAGCATTGAGGATGAAAAGAATAAAAGTAAAAAGTTGAGGCATGAAAACGTTAATAGTCCTCTTGTTCGCCTCCATTTTCAGTTTTTCACCGTTCCAAGAGTAGCAGAAATTCTCTCCGACTGGTAACTGAGCTCAGCACTTCCGGCTTGAGTTCAAATTCAAGCTCATTCTCTAGATCAATCGCAGTCTTCCAAAAATCGTCGAAGAAAGGGAAGAAAGGAAGAAGAAGCGAAATGGAGGAGTATCCAGAAGAGCTACGGACGCCGCCGGTGACTCTGGTATCGCTCGTCGGATGTCCGGAGCTCCACGCACACATCTCGTCGCATCTCCATTCGGAGAAGCCTCCCATCAATACACTCGCCTTGCCGGATTTCTCAAAGATCTCCGTGATTTTCTCAGACAAAAGCTCCGATGGGAAAGCAGCGTCAGCGTCCGATCCCAGCTCCCCGACCCCCGGCATTCTCAAGAGGGATTGGTTGCTCAAGCATCGCACTAGGGTTCCCGCTGTCCTCGCTGCTCTTTTCAATTCTGAACAGATCTCTGGCGATCCAGCTCACTGGCTTCAGGTCTGCACGGACCTGGAAAATCTCAGGTTCGTAATGGTTTCTCTCTTTTAACTTCTGTCCATTATCCATGTCGTTGTGACTCCCGCGTGCCTTTTCAGAAATGCGATTCGTCCGAAGAACATTAAGCTGGTGGTGGTTGTTGTTATGCCATCTTCATTTTTGGCTTCTTCCAATGGTAAGGGAACCTTTGTGGATTTGAATTGCTTATACTCTTTAGGTTAAATAGAGAATGATGTTGACGATGGTGGTGGATATGATGGCAGATGAAATTATTAGTGAAGATAGAATGGGTGCTCTCCGCAAACGAGCTGAATTGGATGCTAAACACATTGTTTTCTTCAACTCTGGCGATGAGTTACAACTTAAGGAATCCCTTAACAAGTAACTATTACTTTTGTGCTCTCATTCTTCTACACTGATTTTGATTAGCAGTCGAATTATGTTTGTCGGTATTTGAATTGAGTTGACTGCTACTCTTGCAGGCTAGGAAGCACTTTTGCTGAATTAGGAACGGCGTATTATAGAGAAGAAGGGCGAAAAATTAAGCCCCGTGTGGAAAAGAAGAACGTCAGTTCCATTGAGTTGAACATTCGTAATTGTTTCAAGGTAACGCCGTTGCTTTTCATTTCCTTCAGGTTCCTATTTTATTGGACTCCATTCCACTCTTGGCTATGATCAGTTAGCATGCAATGTTTTTCTTTATTTTGGCTTTAATATGTCCAAAAAAGTCTTATCTAAGCTGACTCTTGGAAATTAACTCACTTGTATTAATTGATTTAATATCAGGTTGCTGTCTATGCTGAGTTTAGGAGAGACTGGATTGAAGCTTTGAATTTTTATGAGGATGCATATCACATACTGCGGCAGGTATTCAGAAGTTCTTATAGCATCATAGTGAATTCTTGATTTCAGAGTGCTCCTAATATAAATTCATGCTGTCCAGCTTGTCTTGTAAGTACTTTGCTGTCTATTATTATCTTAGGCACCATTTTCGTTTCCTGATTTTGCTCTTTGATACAGATGGTGTCAACATCAACTAGATTACCTGTTATTCAACGGTTGGTTGAGATAAAAATTGTTGCAGAGCAGTTGCATTTCAAAATAGCAACCTTGTTACTCCATGGAGGAAAGATAGCAGATGCGATTGCATGGTTCCGCAAGCATAATGCTTCATACAGGAATCTAGTCGGGCCTCCAGGAGTTGTTTTTATGCATTGGGAGTGGATGAGTCGGCAGTTTCTTGTATTTGCTGAGTTGCTAGAGACAAGCTCAAAGGCCATTCAGAGCATTTCAGGTCCTGCTTCAAATACTGCGGAGAAGTTTTTGACAGAATGGGAGTTTCAGCCGGCTTATTACTATCAGGTTGGCAGATCCCTACTGCTGCTTATGTCCTTGCTATATATTTGAAAATGACCACAGTGTTACTTGTGATCTTTGTTTTGATGGGTCTACATATTGTACGAATGATGTAGGCACAAGTAACGATTACAAATCACCTGAATGAAGTTAGTAATGTTTAATCCTTTCAATAATTCCATCTAGTAAGAATTTAGTTGCAATGATGTGGAGAGATACACCATGCGAACTGATTACTATGTAATTATCTGAGGTCACGATTTTGCTTGTGACATAATTCTCTCCATTGGGAATTGGGGATGTACCCTTTGCTATCCTCTTTTTGTTCTGTGGATAGAGCCACATTTGTGGAAATTGGATAAGGAAACTGGCATGTCTGTGTTAATCAATATGCTAATGTTGGAATTCTGATGTGATAAGCAATGCTGGTTAGGCACTAAAGGTTTTTGAATAACATACATTTATTGTTGAACCAGTTAGCTGCTCACTACCTGAAGGAGAAGAGAAATGCGTTAGAACTTGCACAACAAAGTGAGGAAACAGCTGGTGGCATTGATGGCAGTGCTGAGTCTGTAGTGCCTTCGGTTTATGTTGGCCAGTTCTCTCGGCTGCTTGAGCAAGAGAATGCACTAGCTATGCAACCGTAAGTTTGGAAAACTTTAAAACATTCAGATCTCTCTACCTTATTCGGTTTGCTCACTGTCCACATGGTCATCCATTTTGCAGTCTCACCGATGAAGAATATACCCGTTACTCCATCGCGGAAGGGAAAAGGTTCCAAGATTCCTTTGAAATTATTGCTCTTCTTAAAAAATCTCATGAATCATTCTCTGGTATCAAGTCCAAGAGAATGGGTTCTCTTTGTGCATTCCAGATGGCCAAGGAATATTACACTGTGGCAGATTTTACAAATGCTAAACAGTTGCTTGATGATGTTGCAAGTCTTTACAGATCGGAAGGATGGGTGACTTTATTGTGGGAGACCCTTGGTTACGTCAGAGAGTGTTCTAGAGGAGCTGGTATGGTAAAAGAATTTGTGGAGTACTCTCTTGAAATGGCTGCACTGCCCGTATCATCTGATACCAGTGTCCAATCTTTTGATTCTAAAGATTGTGGCCCAGCTGGTCCTCCAAGCGTTGCTCAGAGAGAAAATATACACAAGGAGGTTTTCTCTCTTGTCAGTGGAGAAAAAGTTGGATCCGTGTCAATTGGAGATAATTTGGATCTCCAAACTGCTTGCAATGGTCCTCTCCATCTTGAGATAGATCTTGTCAGCCCACTGCGAGTTGTCCTACTTGCTTCAGTTGCCTTTCATGAACAGATAATCAAACCTGGTGTGCCTGCCTTAATTACCATATCACTTCTGTCCCAATTACCTATGAATGTTGACATCGATCAATTAGAACTCCAGTTTAATCAATCAGAATGTAATTTCATCATCATGAATTCCCAAAGACCTGCATCGACTGATGGACGACAGGGTCGACGCGTTGAAAGCGCTCCTTCTCTGTCACTTGTTACAAACAAGTGGCTACGCTTGACATTTGCCGTCCAATCAGGTCAGCTTATTACTCTTTGACTTTAAACTATATGGATGTGCAAACACAACCGACTGTTGATTCCTACACCAATTCATTTTCCAGCAACTGCCTTCTTATATCTTTTCTTATGGAAGGCTGCCTCTTTATATTTTGATATAGAGGGTACAAATTTGAGTTACGCCCAAGTTGAAAATGTATAACACCACGCTTTATTGTGCAAAGGCCCTTGCTTGTGGAAACCCAGATGAAGAAACTATGTTAATGTTTAGGTGCTCAAGTGTAAGGCATGAATTGGTTAGGTAGTAATAATTTTTCAGAAACTCATCAACCCAACCGAATTGATATAGGTGAAATGGGTTTGTATAAGGTGGGTTTTTACTTTTTAGTCGGTGAGTTGGGTTGAAATTTGCCACCTCTACACGCATGCCATTTCTTGGCATAAAACATCACTGGATTTTTCTTATACACCACCCTACATTCTGAATTACTTGCACTCTGATGTTTCATTGGTGGTAATGTGAATATAATTTTATAATTGCAGAACTAAGTGGTAAGTTGGAGTGCATATACGTGGTTGCAAAAATGAGATCCCTCCTGACAATCTGTTGTAGAGCTGAAAGTCCGGCCTCGATGGATGATTTACCTCTTTGGAGATTTGAAGATCGCGTGCAGACTTTCCCTACCAAGGATCCTGCTCTGGCATTTTCAGGCCAAAAGGCTGCTCAGGTTGAAGAAGCAGACCCCCAAGTGGATCTTGTTCTTGGTGCCACTGGACCTGCATTAGTCGAAGAGTGCTTTACGGTTCCTGTCACTGTGACCTCCAAGGGTCACTCTGTGTTCTCTGGAGAGTTGAAAGTCAATTTGGTAGATGTCAAAGGTGGTGGCTTGTTTAGTCCCAGGGAAGTTGAGCCACTTTCCTCAGATAGCAGCCATCACGTTCAGCTTCTCGGCGTCTCCTCAACAGAGACGGAGGACGACCCTCAGGTAGCTTCCAGCAAAATCATGAAAATTCAGCAGTCCTTCGGTTTGGTCTCTGTACCATTTTTGAAAGATGGAGAATCATGGTCATGCAAGCTGGAAATCAAGTGGAATCGACCGAAACCTATCATGCTATTCGTTTCACTGGGATACTTTCCGGATGTCAACGAGTTGAGTTCACAGAAAGTTCATGTCCACAAAAGCTTGCAGATAGATGGAAAGACCGGCATTGTAATCAGTCATCATTTCATGCTACCATTCCACAAGGACCCACTGTTGCTCTCCAAACAGTCACCTTCCCTGCCGTCGAACGAAGCAAGTGTACTAGTCATAAGCACAAAGAACTGTTCTGAAGTGCCCTTGGAGTTGCAGTCTATCTCTATCGATATGGATGATGACCATGAAAAATTGTATACTCTTGGACACGGAGGTGGAGGAACTGAAGATGTGTTAGGGATTTCTCATCTCATGCCAGGAGAGGAGTTCAGAAAAGTTTTCACCATCATTCCACAGACAGAATCATCTAGTCTCGTACTAGGGTCGGTGGCTTTAAGATGGAGAAGGAAATCCGAAACCCAAGAAGCCTGCGTGCTGACTAGTTATAAGCTTCCAGAAGTAAACGTAGAGCTGTCGCCATTGGTGGTGAGACAACAATGTCCTCCTTATGCCATCCTTGGAGATCCTTTTGCATACATTATAAGGATCAAGAATCAGACCAAGCTGCTACAGGAGGTCAAATTCTCTCTGGGAGATGCACAGAGCTTCGTGCTCGCTGGATCTCACACTGACTCCACTTTCATACTGCCCAAGTCGGAACACGTAGTTTCTTACAAGATCGTGCCACTGTGTTCCGGTATGCAACAGCTGCCTCGAGTCACTGTGACTTCGGTCAGATATTCAGCAGCATTTCAACCCTCGGTCGCTGCATCTACTGTTTTCGTGTTCCCTTCCAAGCCTCACTTCCAGATAGCAGCAGCTGACATCGGAAACAAAGTCTTGGAACCTGTCGTTGCCTCGGAGTAACAACCTGAACCCCTCCAACTAGGTGGCTTGCATTTTCTTCTTGTGGAGATAGTGATGGATCTCCGAGAATTGGGAGATGTAAGCAAATATGTATGTAGTAGTACAGGAACTGATTTTGCCACATCTTCTTGTGTGTTTGTGTGTATAAACTAGGCTGAGATAAAAGAACAACATTTTTGTCTATTGAGCTATTCTACAAGTTAATGGCTTCTTTTCCCCTAATCATTCCTCAAGGCCTTCACAAAATGAAAGCTAAAGCAATCCATTTCCTTTCATTCTGGTTTAGACATCGAATAAGCTTTCTTTGATGGTTTTGGTATGAAAATATTTGCTTTTAGGACGTTCCTTGTAAAACATGTTGGCATCGATTCTATCATTCTATTATGCAAGGCATCTAAAGTGAAGAAAAGATTATTCATTTCCCCTTTTTCCTCAAACATAAGGGTTATGTTCGTAGTTGTTCAATTCATATGTATATAGTGTTTACTAAGAATTTTTTACCTTCATATATTTGGTATTAACGGTAAGAGAGCGGTATATAATTTATAATTAATCTTCTCTCGACTGCTCGAATTATTGGAACAAAACGGTTATGATATGGTTATAGAGTTTGTTTGACCGAGTGGTCGTGCCTTTTAATCTTCGTAACCTTCAACATTAATAATTGATTTAAACACAAAATTTGTCGAGTATGTGCAAACTTCAATCCCGTAATTTTGTTTCTTGCAACTTGTAATAACAAGAGAAAAGGGAGTTCACGGGCCGGACGGTCCGGACGGTGCAACTGGATGGCCCAATAATCTATCCCAAATTGGTTTGGGCCGGCCCACTAACATGCGTTGCCTTCTTCGCTCGCTCTTCTTCCCCCTTTCCCTCCCTATTTATTTTCCATCTCGACACTCGAGGACAATCCTCCACCACACCATACCTAAAAAAAAAACAAAAAGGAAAACTCTAAAACCAAAAACAAAAGCAAAAGCCGAAGCCCAGAGCCCCAGACCCAGAGAGAAAGAAAGAGAAAAGAGAACGAGACAAACTCTTCTCCCCGAGAGATTTTCCCCTCCGTCGCCCATCCTCGCCTGAGCTTTCCTTCTCTCTTCACGCACAGCAATGGCCGATCAGCTCACCGACGACCAGATCTCCGAGTTCAAGGAGGCCTTCAGCCTATTCGACAAGGACGGCGATGGTCTCCCTCTCAGATCCCTGTCTCTCTGTTGCCTTTCAATGATTGTTCTCCGCTTTATTCTTTGCTCTAGCTTCTGTTCTCGGATCTTCGGCTTTGTGTTCGTCTTCGTCTCTCCGTGTTTGAGCTGATTAATCTCGTGCGTGATAATAGTTTATCGCGTTTATATTTCTGTTTTCGCGAAACTATGGATCGCGAGGTGTTACTAGCTGTTGATTGATTGATTGATTGACGGAGATGTGGATCCCTAGTTTGGCATCGTCCTTCTTGTTAGGATTTGGATCCGATTGGATTAGATCGAATTTCCCGCCTTGTTTCCCCTAGGGTTTCTTCGTGATTTTGACTCACTTGTAGGAGGATCTCTGTCGTAATCAGGCCTTTTGCTTCGTCAGTCATATCTTGATGTTAATCTCCCGCAGTTATGGATCTCGAAATGAATTTTCACCTCTCTAGGAATTGTGTTGCATATGTTCTTCACGAGATGGAAATGATTAGGTCAACGGTTGGCGATTTGATAATACGGCCTTTGCAGCCAATGATTCACTGTCCCTGGTATCCTTTGTTGAGAGCTTTTAGAATAAGTTGATCATGAATGAACGCAAACAGCTATTGATTCCTTTGTAGTTTTCATAGTAATGGTTTATTAGGCTTGAATGTGGCTGGTGTAACAGATGGAGGTTAAGATTTTATTGATCGCTAGAGATTGTTAGAGGTTAAGAATTCGAACCTGAGTTGACTTGGAAGTTCAGTTTGCAATCTGCTAGACATTACAGGGTATCCTTATGCATGGTGATGGCTTCTCTTAATGATTTACTTGATTCCATGGTGTGTTTAACTTTGCTAAAGAATCGCTAGATTCTCTTAGGCTATGAACTCTGTCACATAGTGTTATTGAGCTTAAACAATCGGAAACCTAATGCTGTCTTTTTTCCACCAGGTTGCATCACCACCAAGGAGCTCGGAACTGTGATGCGTTCGCTGGGACAGAACCCAACCGAAGCCGAGCTTCAAGACATGATAAACGAGGTTGATGCCGATGGCAATGGCACCATCGATTTCCCGGAGTTCCTCAACCTCATGGCCCGCAAGATGAAGGACACCGACTCCGAGGAGGAGCTCAAGGAGGCCTTCCGGGTGTTCGACAAGGACCAGAACGGTTTCATCTCTGCAGCTGAGCTCCGTCACGTGATGACGAATCTTGGGGAGAAGCTGACCGACGAGGAGGTCGATGAGATGATCCGCGAGGCTGATGTGGATGGTGATGGCCAGATCAACTACGAGGAGTTTGTCAAAGTCATGATGGCCAAGTGAGGACTACTACCTACTACTCCCACACTCTTTATCTCAAAAAACCCTAGAAAAGCATTTTCAAAAAGGGGGTAGGAAAAGCAATAGGGAACAGAGCAGACTAGTCTGATGATGAGAATTTCCAGTTTACCAGTAGGACTTCATGTCGATTGGGTCTTTGTTTTCAATTAGCGTTCGGTTGGGGTTTGATCGGTCTGGTTTGTCTTCAGTTTGCATTGTTTCTGTATTCAGTTTCTCTTTGCTGGGTCTCTACTTGTTTGCTCTGTTCCCCGGGTTTAGTAGTCTGCTTGTTGTTAGCTTTTTTTCTGATATAATGTTTTTGCTTATCGTTTTGGTACCATGAACCTAGAACAATTGGGATAATTGGATGCTTTTTGTCTTGTGGATTGACTAATTTTTGTTGATATTTCCAAATTGTGAACTCTCTTCCTTGGTAGGCTTATGATAATGATATATGAGTGAATGATGTTTAAGGCACCGAGTCTTCCAGAGTACATGGTGGAGGTAGGGAAGGTTTTTGGTCAGATTTGGTAGCTACTTGTTTTGTGGAGACTTTGGCTACTGGTTTTGGTTGTGGTCATTGTCCATTAATCCACCTAGGGGCTTAACAATGGGTGCTTCCCAGTTTGGTCTGGTCCCTTCCTTTCGAAACTCCACTGGAACTCGACCGAAGCAGATTCGAAAACGATTTTTACGGCTTTTATCAAGGGGCTTAGCAATCTGTGCCGTGGTATGTCTTTCCCTGGTTTTCTTTCAGCTTTGATCCAGCCCTGTGTTTTGAGTCTGTCATCCACACACATTACCCGTTCGTGTCGAACCTCGTTTTTCTTTTCAAATGTTCCAACCTGCATTTCGTAATCTTCTATTAGCGCCTCTTGTCATGGCCTCATGGGTGGGCTAGAACTAATTAGATCTCGAGGTCCCTTCCTACAATGGTGGTAACGACTGAACCATGACCTGCTCATTCACCCTCTGGTTTTCTTTCACTCTTGCGGCCGATGACGACGAAGAATTTGAGTTTGATGTTAGATGGCAAGCCTTCCCCTTGGCCTGCTTACTGTTGGGTGTTAGAAGGAGAATGAAACCCAGGAGGAACTTTGCAACGTATGTGAATCTTTTTCAAGCTATGGCTTGGAAGAGGTTGATATCGAAACTTGCTTCTTCTTTTTTTATCTCGGTGCAATTTTCGGAGTGCCTAAGGGTTGCGGATGATATACGGAGTGTGTTTCGGTTCTTCGGATCAATTGATATAAGCAGCACCTGCTTTTTCGTGGAAACGATTGAGTGTGATTTGTGAGGGGGGAGAGCACGCCCCGAATTTAGATCGCGCGGTGAATCGATTAGAGGAGAACGACATAAGTTGGGAAGCCACTATTATTACCATCGTGTTCCCTCTCTTTTTTCCTTTTTGTATTGAAGGCACATTCCATCATTTTCAAAATATCCTACTAATGTGATATAAAACGAAAACCAACTAAACTGAACGACGCTTATAATATTAACGAGAACGACAAAAAAATGTACTTAGTACTTATAATTTAGTGATTTTCTCTTGTCAACGAGTACTCTAATCATAAGGTGATGGATCTGAGCTAGACTAACAACTTTCCCAAACTCCATCCACATACAAACTATAAATTAGCACCACTCAAATACGCTTCCTATCCAGAAGACCAGAACAGACGGTGCTATTTTTTTCTGATCTCTTTTTGTTAAAAAAAATATCATTTTTCATTTGTTTCAACAAATTCGGCCTCCGATGATCTTTTGCACTTACCATCAGATATTTTCTCCTTAACAACATCACCCATGCCCCTCAACAAATTGTTGCCCAAATCATTTGGATTCTTCTATTCTCTTCATCTCGCTATTTTAACTACTCTTGCTTTGTGTGTTTGATTGGGTGCAGAAGGAGGGCATTGAGAAGCGAGAGCATCCAACATGAAAGGGTCAAGTTTAGAAAGATCTGCTTGAAAGTATGTGTAATCCTCTGAATTAGCCATAGTAAGCAAAAGCTAAAGAAAGCAATTAAAATGGATGCCATTTGGAGGGAATGAAGGGAGAAATGGAAGTAGGGTGATGGACTAGTGTACATTTGATGTGTGTTTATGTATGTATGTATGTGTGTATGTAAAATGTCGCGTTTATGGAGGGAAATGAAAGAGTACCGGTGATGTTCTTTACTGTGGGGAGTCAATGGACAACTATCATTTTTTATGGCCGACACAACTACGAATATGATTGTTTGGATGAAGTGATTGAGAAGCAAGACAATTGAATTAGGGTATTCGAATTGCAATAGTACAAATTACTCTATCGGAGTTAGGTAATTAATAATAGCATAGCGAGGTAATTTGGCCCAATAGTCACAGTCTGAGACAATTGAACCAAACTGTCTTACAATTGCTCCATCCAAATAACCCCTATAAGGGATAATGGGATCTTGGTCGCAACATCTCCCTCTACCCGTACAAGATATCATTAGCAATCATCATAATGGGTTATTCTAGTGCGAACTCTCAATTTCACGGTGTACGCTATCGTCTATTGAAATTGGTCTCTATGCGCACACAATTCCTTACTAAGGTGGATGTGCAAATATAATCGTATTCTTACACAACCAGGCTTGTTACAAGAATCCTATCGAATTAGCCGGCAGACTTATAAAACAATCAAATCAGTCACAATAACGAGTTAAGTCTATTTTATAAGACGGTCAGGGTCAGGACTAATCGACGACTTTTAATGGTTCGAAGTGAAACCAGATACAAACTGCCTCGCGACTTATAATTGAATCAGGACCATCTCATCCTAATTACTAAATTTTACCCACTTTGTTCGAGTCGGTTAGAATTGTTTAATCGTACAGATTCGGAGTGCAAGAGATGGGTGTCTCTTACTTTCTACCTTTCTACGAGGCATATAATGGAGGAATCGGTTCTTTTAAATGGAACCTTTGTCTTTATACCAGTGAAGCTGCTTATTACTAGAAAGCAACCGCTTGGAGTCCTATTGTCTCCACTCTTTTCACATCACAAATTATTCTTCTCTCTCAATCTCCATCTCTCTCCATTCCAATTTCCATAACATACAACAAATCTCCCCAAATCCCCACAACAATGGCAGAAGAGCATCACAATCACCACCACTTACCTCCAGAACCACCGTCCCCAGCCATGTCCGGCGAGAAACACGGCCACCACCCCACCAAACACGTGTCACCACCAGGACGCTCCACCTACGCGTACAGCCCGCGGCGCAGCCACGTGGCGAGCCTCGTCACCGTCCTCCTCCTCCTCGTCGGCCTCACCTTCCTCATCCTCTGGCTCCTCTACCGCCCCCACGACCCCGTCTTCGCCGTCGCCGCCGCCGCCGTCTACTCCCTCAACTTCACCGCCCCGCCGTACCTCGCCGCCGCCTTCCAGTTCACCGTCGTCGCCCGCAACCCCAACCGCCGCGTCTCGATCCTCTACGACGGCCTCACCGCCTACGTCGCGTACCGCGGCCAGGCCGTCACGGCGCCCCTGCCGCTCCCGCCGCTCCACCAGGCGGCGAAGACCACGGTGGCGATGTCGCCGGTGATCGGCGCCGGCGGCCGGGTGCCGGTGAGTGCGGAGGTCGCCGACGGGCTGGCGGCGGACGAGGCGTACGGCGTCGTGCCGGTGAGCGTGGTGGTGGCCGGGCGGCTCCGCTGGAAGGCCGGCGCGGTGACGACGGGGCGGCACCGGGTTTACGTCAGGTGTGACGTTTGGGTCGGGTTGAAGCGCGGGGTGTCGGGTCAGGTGCCTCTGCTCGGATCCCCCGGCTGCAGAGTTGATGTGTGAAATGTGAATCCGGGCGGGCCGGGTCGGGTCGGGTTGATTGGATCCGAACTGAGAGATTGTGTTTATGTAATGTAGAAGGAACGAGTTCCGGTGATCAAAGAAGAGTAATTAGCAGCTTGTAATTGTATGATAATATATATAAATGATAATAATGTTGTGACTAGAGTTTGTTTGTGCCTAATTCTGCGTTCTTTCTTTTTCAATCAACCCGCCGCTACCGGCGTCCCAATTGATGCCTCAGTTATCCGCCGTCGGGCGACTGGTCGGACTGGGAAAGTAGCCGCCGGCGCCGTGACGTGCGATTTTTCTTCACCGCTTCGCCTTCAGCTGCCAGGTGGAAATCTATACGGTATTGACAAAGTAGAAACTATCAAAATCTCTAATATCAAATAGTGTACTAAAGTAAATCCCAATTCCAAAATAAATATGACGTGTCAATTGCAATACCTAATATTTTATGTCGTATTATACCAAATACTAAATTATTTTTCTTCAAAATTACCAATGAAACATAAAAAAAGCAAATACTTCCTCTCTACAAACAACTCCCGCAAATAACAATCCTCTTCTCAAAATACTCGTGCAAAACAAATAGAGAAAATGTCAAGCATAACCCATGAACATTTTTTTTTTGTCATAGATAGGTGTCAGAATGCGTACAATGTAGTATGCTTACAAAAATAAAGTAAATGAAAGAAACAAATGCGATAGTCGATAACTAAACTGCGAGTGATTAAAGAGCCTTTTTAGTCACTTGATGGGCAGCCTAGTTAGTATCTTAAGAAATGCAACAAAAGATACAAGCGTCAACACAACACGCGCCAAAGCCGGAGAAGCCGGAAGATAGCTTGTCCTTGTCGATATAACTCGTTTTCTCCCAAAGATCGTGCATTTCTTGCCGGTGTTCATGCGGGAACCCAAAAGCATAGCAGTCATTCCTTGCAAAATGAACCAACAAAAGTAAAAAAGAAACACAGCTAGCCGCCCAAAGACTAGCTCAATTGTCAATAAAACAACAAACCAGAACCGGCTCAAACATAAACCCTAACCTTCAAAGACAAACGGACAAAACTACCATAGAAACAGACTGGTAAAAACCTAAAGCGTCCGGAGAGCTAAAAAAGCCCAGCCCAAACCCATAAACAGTTCACAATTAATGAATTAAGCTTGATCTGGATTGTCAAATAGTAAGAGTAAGAGAATACGCTTTGTATAAGTGGTCAATTTTGACAGTGCCAGTAGCAGTGAAGGAGGAAGTCTATACTAACTTATGTTTCGCTATTATTGATTTTTTCATATATTACAAATCTAAATCTCGTAATTTTTAATATCAAATAACCCTTAAAATTCAAGCTCAATACCATAAAATAATACACGTTAATAATAACTTATATTGACAAATTCAATACAATATTTGGTAATATCACAAATACGTACCAAAGTTCCAACCTAATTATCAACCAAGCATCTGGTTCTGATGATGATTAGCAGTCTGAACGAAGCATCAATAGGCCAAGTGAAAACAGAAATTCCTCTTTTTCCATTATTGAATTCCTCTAAGCACAAAAAGGAAAAACAAAAACTATTCTCCACCATGCCAAAAGGAACAAAGTGATCACTAAAAGTTGCTGCGCTGGAAGTTTGAAACACAAGATACATTTGTGACAACTGAAAACCTGCTTTAATCTATCCTCTCTCAACCATTCAGGGTCTCCACGATTGATTCCCTCCCATACAAGGGCCAATCTCAAGCCTCCCCAAGTTCTCATCAATGGCTGACATTAGCCTCACCCCATTTAAGAACTGCTCCAAAAGTAACTACTACGAAGTGTACAATGCTTCTTTTCTACAACAAAAGGGATACCACCTTCCAGGAAACATGTTTTCAGAGCAAAATGCTTGAACAATGAACACAGCACAGGAGTAGACAACATGATCACAAGAAGCAAAAAGTTCAGCAGACTATGAACAGAGAGATATCCTTCACAGAACCAGGTAAGCAAGCAAAAAGAGTAGCTGTCTCGATCTTACATTTTCACAAGAACCGGTGCTACCTTTCCAATGGTTTGTAGAGGACAACGGTGACATATTTGGATTCGAACCGATGGGTCATCCCGAGACCAACCAGTGACTTAGAAGCCCATCCTTTATCGATATAGAGGTGGTTCAGCACGACGTGCTGAGGCTTTGAAGGAGGAGATGAAGATGATGATGATGATGAAGCAGGTTCAACCGGGTTCTCCATACCAAGGACGGTAAGATGCAGCTGGGATGGAACGACAGCAGGCTCCTTCCCGAATTCTTCCTCTGAAGGATATGTGTGTCCATAACTTGAGTCCGGTGATGCAGGAGCTTCAAACTCTGCGACACTCTCTGGGTTTTCTGGTACGTAATCCTGCAAGGATGAGAGAGAGATATTTTCCTTGTGAAACCAACTTATCAGAAGCAACACATTGAAGATAAACATAGATGTGTTTCTTATTTCACCTTTTTATCATATTTTTAGGGTGAAATGATGTTAGGGGATAGTAAGAGACTGGGGCTTAATAGTTCAATATCCATGGCAGCATTCCTTATACATAACATAAATAAATGGATCCTAAGCATGAAAAGCTAACCAGCACCTACTGCTAGAAGCTACAAAGTGTCGAGTTTCACTTAACCATTGATAAACCAACGAATGCAGATAAGCAAAATTTGAACTGGAAACTAAGGGACCATAGCCTTTCAAACTATAAGAAAAATGTGGCTTGATTCTATCATGAGTTCATGTATATCATCAGATGTATCCTTTATATGCTTCTCATGCATTGTAATTTTAGCGGATGTCCCCAAAAGGGACCACTGTAATGATCTATCTGAAAATGTGTATTGCAAACTGTCTACAGTAGCTCGCAGTGCAATTAGGACACAAATTTCAAATAAGCTTGATAACAATACTTACATTAACATCAAGAACATTACACACGCTGCCCATCTCATCAGCTACAAAAGGGAGGTCTGGAGTGTATCTCCACTCCCCATCCACAATGAACTTATAATGGTATATCCCTAATGGAAGCACGAGAAGAATAGAATGATCCTTCCCTGTTCTTTGCATTAACTTCCTGCAACGAAGAATAAAAAGACAATGAATGTCATGTGTTGTTCACTTGTGCCTTCTTAGGACCCGGAAGAGGAGGGAGTTAGGAACAGAAGCAAAGACGGAAACCTCACCTTGACTGCCAATTATCCCACGATCCTTCCACAGCAACCTCATTGCCACCATAGTTCCAGGTGATGATTACTGGGATAGCTTTTTCAGAAGGTTGATCAACAACAACGGGTTGAGGTTCATTCCGCCACAATTGAAGTGGGAAGCCATCAGGCCTCGGTAATGGTGCTGCAGGAACCTACAAAAATTTCACAAGAAATCCAGATCATGCACATCAGCTAGTGGCCAGTAACAACAACAGTTGAAAAAGTCCACCATGAGAAAAGTAAAAGTCAAAAAGAGGGACGAACAATTGTCAGAGAACCCATTGAAGAGGACTTCCAAAATCCAAAGGATGAAACTAGTTCCAGAAAGGAAATAAACCAAGCTTGAATAAGGTAGGAACTGCCTCCAGGTCCTTTACTGCTAGTATGAATATACTAATTGGATGACTCATGAAGAACAGTAAGGTGAGTACTGTTCACAAAGAGAGAAACTTTTGTTTCCATTCATTTTCTTACAATTCAAATGAGCCAAAAGGGTAGATTTCTAGTTCACTAAGACAAGGCGAATCACAAAAGCAAAATAGCAGTCAATGATGAATAAGAATCCCCAGGCATTGATTCCATCTCGCATCACTCCAATTAAAGAGTTCCACAAATTGGCTAGCTTACAGAACAGGTAGTAAAGAAGAAAGGGCAAATGAACAGAGGAAACCCAAAAGAAGAAGGGGAAAAACAAAACCTGTGGAGCAAACAAGAGAGGCGAGGCGGAGCGAGCTGGACTATGTGGTGGATTGCTACTGTTGTTATTGACTGGCTGCATAGTATCCGTCGAACCGACTCGACCAGCTGGGCGGCTTGAATTAGGCGGCGGAGGCGGTGGCGGCCGCTGCATCTGCATAACCGAGGTTTCCCCATTGGATCCATCCTCTTCCGCGCCATCTCCGCCTCCTTCTTCCTTCCCATTCGCATTTCCCATCTCTCCTTCCTTCAATTTCTCGCGTCCTCCTCGTATAGCAAAACCTTAAAAATCCCCTCTACCTCCTTGTATCTCCAATACCACCAAGCCGGCGGAGCGGCGACAAAAGAAGGAAAAGGCCGCCGCTTTTCTTGGCGACGGACAGATCTACGATCGGCCCATTAAACAACCATCCAATGGGTACAAAACCCACCTACTCGAATTCGATTATAATAACAACAATGGTACGCAGGCTCTGGAGGGGGGAGAAACGAGAAATAAAAATGGCGCCTTTTTCCTTTCTTTCTCTGTTTCTTCTCAATGGATCAGTTCTCAACTCGAGTATCAGCAATGGTGAGTTGGGTTATTTGCCACGACGACGACGGAGGAGACCAGAATCCGCGGGACAACCGGAGAAGAGGAGACGACAGATTTAGGTTCCCGATCTATTGATTGATGGAACGAGAAAAAAATGGGAAATTGGGTTTTGCAGAGGAGGAGAGAGGAATGGATGAATCAGGAAGTGGATAACGAAAGAGATGGGAGAGTTATCGACTGGTGAACTTCCTATTTATTGCTTCTGTGAGCTCTACTACCTTGGTGCTTGGCGACGTGTAGGTCTAATCCTTTTGTCTTATTTCCAGATTAACGTGTGATTAGGGTTAATTGAAGCCGAACATTAAAAATTCTGGATTTATATGTCAAGTTGACCTCTTAACTACAATATATATGTGTTTGGTACCAAAGTCACTAACGAAAGGAATTCATTAAGCGCCTAACATTAACTTAACTAATATGAGGATTCTTGTTTATAATTAAATACCTAATTTGAGATCGAGATGGGAACGTTGAGTCACTCGCACGCTATATCTAAATGCTAGAGATACGAAGTCTCGTGGCATACTCTCAACATTTTAGATTAGAGTGTGTATATAGAGTTGCTAATTGTGAAGATGGCGTCTTTCAATTACCTTGTTACTCTCTTATGTGTTGATTGTACTATTATCAAATTGGAGATGTTACCCCCGAATTTGTTATTGATAAATGCTTACCACTTTCTATTAGAAACAAAATTATCGCCACCACTAGTGTTATATCTGTTATCGTCACTTATCGACACTATCACAACTCAACAACCCAATTAAGTTAACCTCGCCTATAATTTACTTTGATAAAACATATCGTAATATAGATATAAATTCATATCTAATTCAGTTTTCTTATTAATCATTTGATCACAAAATAATCTCTCGATATGCTTCATACAAGATAATTAATAGGACATATCTAGTGATAATGACCATAAACTATATGTATAGACTTGTTTCCATCTAAATGTATAGATATAATTTTGTACACCCATGTATGATGTATCATTATCAGCCATCGTTGGACCCAATCAAACTTTGTTTATACATATGATAAGTTGGTTTTGGGAGTATCGTATTAGAGCAAAAACAAATTGGAGATCAAGTAGAGAAGATTTTTTTTAGGGTATGGGTATTGCCAAAACGAGAAAAACAAAGGGACAATGACGACAAATGTGGGTGATAGACTAGCCACAAATAAAAAAACAATGAAATGAAAGGAAGTGGGCTCTCTAGCCTTATCCTGTTATCCATATCAAATCCGGATTTTGGAATTGGAGCTTATCTTCTTCTTGTTTTCTAATGTTTTCCCCAAATCCTGTGTGTCTTCTTTATTAGGCGCATGATTGATGGATCATCCCAAAGAAGGAAAAGGACTGCTGGTTAAGGATTCAGAATCACTCTAATAGTGTATTTGGGCCCCCATTGGGCCACCCCTGGCCCAGCATGTCAACAACATGCTGTTGAGATAGTGATCAATGCGCATCAACAAATAGCCCACGGATTCATGGTGGTTTAGTTTTTAGGGGGGCACCGACTGAATTGGTGATTCGACTGAGTAGGAATGAAGGAAGTTGCAATGGGTATGTTGGGACTAGGAATGACAATTGGCTGGTCGGGGCGGGTATCTCGATACTCATATTCACCTCGTGGCAGGTTGGGTACAAGTTGGGTAATTCATAACAGGGCGCGGGTCGAGGCAGATCAACCTAATGGATATTTAGTTTAGAAGGAAAACATGAGTAAATTCTAAATATTCAAATTTTCATTAAAACCACAAGAAACAAAGTAAAATATGATAAGTGTATTTAAATTATTTTAAAAAAAGCAGGTTCTGGCATGTTTAGAACTTTATTGTAGCTAAATATGTGGTAATAAAAGTAAAGTTATAAGTATTTTGAATAGAATTACATGTAAGTCAGGCAAGGCGGGTCGAAAATGGGCGGCGGGTCAGGGCAGGTCGAGGGAGAGTACCCATGCCTGCCCTGCCTCGCCCCAAAATAGGTCAATCAGGCCGGATAAAACGGATCAGGTCAAAATTGTCATCCCTATTTATTTAGTGACGAAACAAGTCATTTCATCAAAATGTTTACAATTTATGTTCAGACTCTACTGAATAAATTAGTTCTTCTTTGTTTGGAGAAAGAGTTTTTTTTACATTTCTCGCACTCTACCTTTTGGTCCTTTAACAAGGTTTTCTTTTACGGATTCACTTTCAAGCCGAGACCCTCGTCCATATCCTGCTAATTCATTATTGAAACGGAGTCTTGACCGAGCAATTACTAAATCCAGTGGTCATTTGTTTGTTGGATTTCAAAATGAGAGTTTGTAGTTCTTAAAATCTTAGTAGTTATGATGAATTTGAAAAAGTTTATTATTTGTACGATTGATTTTTTATCAAGAGTATATAACATTTTGTATAATGGGCTCCACGTATTTGACTTTTGCTCATCCAAATTCCAAACCAAACGTAAGATTTACAAATTGGCCAGGCCCACGGATTTTACTCAAAAGCGTATGGGCCTGGACTACTTTCGGAAAATCGATGTTGGGTTCACAAGAATGAATATTGTCCATGAATCTCAGCAGGATCAACTTGGATGCAAGTTTTGAATCAAGCCGAGTCAGTCGGTTGCGGACCGGTCATGCCGACGGTTTCTATAACTTTGAATTCGGATTATTAGTCGTCTGACTGAAAATTATGGTGTATATAGTTTACATTTTTACATTGTCGATTCCCCTTTTAACACCACTTCGGTGGGGTGCTGAGGAGGGTCATCCCAAGATTAGATGGGTGTCCTGGCGAAACATGTACAGGAGTAAGCATGAGGGGGATGGGATTTCCCCAGTTTGAACATTTCAATCAAGCTCTTTTGGCTAGGATAGGCTGGCGTATTCTTAATGATCCTCAATCTCTTATTGCCCAGGTGTATAAAGGCAAGTATTTCCCTCAAGAGTCTTTCCTGACTGCCAAGGCTAGATCTCGTCCCTCTTGGGGGTGGCAGAGTATCCTTCATGGGCGTCATTTATTGGAGATGGGTTTGCGATGGCAGGTTGGGAATGGCCAATCGGTCTCCCTCCTTCATTCTAACTGGATCCCTAAATACCAATTAGATCCCCCATGCTATAATCCGAGGGTCTTGCCTGAGGGGGGTAATCCCTTGGTGACGGAGGTTATTTGTGAGGGGGGAGGGACGTGGTATGATGAGAAGCTTAGTCAATGGTTTGACCCGCTTACCTGTAGGGCTATTAAAGCCATTCCTCTCCTTAGATGGGATGTGCCTGATAAGCTTATCTGGCATTTTGCTGCAGATGGGGTTTTCTCGGTGAAGTCGGCTTATCATTTGCTGTTGACTTGGACAGGAGGAGGGGTAGGTGGCGGTCCTCGTTTAGCTGGATGGATAAGCCGAGTTGGATTAGAGTTTGGGAGGCGAAGATCCTCCCGAAGTAGAAAGTTTTTGTTTGGCAAATTCTAAACCGGGCTCTGCCGACTACTGAGGCGCTTATTGAGAAAAAGGTCCAGGTGCTACCTCGGTGTCCAGTCTGTTGGGAGGGCCCAGAGACGATGGAGCACTTGTTCCTTTCTTGTCCGGTGGCACGGGCTCTTTGGGATTATTCCGGGCTGGATTACTTGGGGGAGGGTTTGCCTCGGCACACTTTTCCATTGTTTCTCAATCGTCTGTTGGCGCTGATTCATCAACCGTCAATGGTTATGGCTGTTGTTGCCATCCTTTGGAGGATCTGGCAGTCCCGGAATTGGGTAGTTTTTGAAGGCAAACAGTTTGAGATACCGGCTCTCATGCGCCAGTTTAATCAACAATATGAGGAATGGGTGGGGCTTCCTGCGGACCATGGTCCTCGAGTGCTGAACCCGGTGTTGCAATCTCCAGCGCAAGTGGGTGAATCCCAGATTGTGTGCATGTGGGACGGAGCTACGAAGGGTGGTTCGCATTCGGCTGGTGGGATGGTTCTTTTGGACCCAGCGCGGACACTCCTTCTGGCTAGAGGGGTTCAGTTTTCTCAAATGGATGACCCTATGGTGGTGGAATTGCTCGTGCTCAGGGATGCTTTATTTGGTGTAGGGAGCTGGGCTTGGCGGAAGTCCGTTTTGAAGGCGATGCGAAGGTGATTATTGACAAAATTAATCAAGCCGACATAAGAGATAGCCGGTTGGGTGCTGTTCTGGATGAGATTGGCCATCATTTGCGTGCTCAGCCTGGTTATAGTGTGCGTTTTGTAGGTCGGGAGAACAATAGGGTAGCTCATTTGGTAGCTAGGAAAGCCTTTTCTTTGTACCCGACTATGAGTCGCTTTTTTTATTTTCAGGCCTGGCTGGTTTTCAGAGTGTAACTGCCTATTTTTTATCAATTTATGATATCTTTTGACAAAAAAAAAGTGTTAATGAAAAAGTCGATGTTTTTTAAAACTCTTATCGTACCAATTGTATTCGATGCAAAATCCTTGGAGCTTACGAATTCCGTTGCTAGCCTTCGAACCGATGGATCTCTTGTGTGACGAATTCCAGCTCTGTGTTGAGATCTGAGCTCATTGATGGAGATCGAAGTGGGAATCTTCGAAGCATTGGCTTGGTGTGGTGTGCCAGAAGAACATTCTCTCTGTTGACGTATTTTGACCAAAGAGGTCAATGGTTAAGTCTCTTCCTTAAGTCCCATGTATGTTCGTAATTTTTAGATTAAATATAACCTTTATAATTAAACCAAAGAGAAATGATTTTGATGACCTTTATTGGTTGAATGTTGACTTTCAACTCTCCTTTTCTCCACCGAATGCCGCACACAGTCAACAGCCACTGGGCCCCACCCCTGTCTCTCTCCTCTGCGCTGCCGTGCCGTCGTCTTCCGGCAAAAGTCCCTTTTTCACTATTTATATATAACCAACCAAAATTCCCAACTCCCACCATTTCTCTTCTTTCTTCGATACTACTGCTGCCCATCAACCTCTTCCCCAAGAATAATCGAACAACAATAATCCTTGCTTCCAATGTCAATGGAGGCCGTGCCCATTCCGCCGGCAGAGAAGCCGATAGAGCTCAGGGCGGTGGAGGCACTGGGTAAGGGCTTCGACCTCAGCAGCGATTTCAGGCTGAAGTTCGCCAAGAGCGCCGGCGGGAGGCTGGTCGCGCTCGACGAACGGAACAAGAGGGACATTGTCATCCCCTCCGCCGGCGGCGCCGGCGTTACCGTGCCTGGTGTCTCCGAGGACATTCGGGTGGATAGAGGGGACCGGATTCGGTTCAAGTCCGACGTCCTTGAGTTCAATCAG